ATCAAATTTCTTAAAAGTCATTCTCATGCTATCTAACAGGTGTTTCAGAACTAGCTACAGATGCACCAAAAGATGTAACAACAGAAACTCTTCAGGAATTATCCACAAACAATAATCAAACCGAAGTTCCTGCGGTGTATATTTATTAATTTTTTTAAAATTAAGTTGCTCTTTGTTTGAAGTTGAGGCTTGGGGGTAGACACAAACTAGAAAAATAAAAAAACTAAGAACAATTAGGGCTTATTGGGTCCTGTTAGCAGTTTTAGACCCCGTGTCTCCCCCTTAGCGTATGCGATTTTAAAATAAAACAACCACCGTTTCGACTTCAAGTCGAATATAGCAAATGACTGCCATCCCTATGCCATTTATAATGAAAAAATATTTATAAATAAGAGGAATGTTTGGTGTGCATTGAACGGAGGTGGATATTTTTATTTGAAAATGAATAACATAGATAGGCATATTATTTGCCAAATACAGTTTGGTTAAATTCGAATCGGTGTTTGGTTTATTTATTAATTTATTTCATTCATCTGTTTTTATCATGAAGGTGTCAACTCAAACGCCTGAAGAGTCGTCCACTGCAACTGTCTATGTAGTAACCGTAACAGAAACCCCAGATGATGAAGACCCCTCCTACAGTATTTTATTGGACTTAGTTTCGACCGATAATGAAGTGAGCGTTAGTGAAATTAAGGCTCTACTCCAAGAAATACTAAAAGGCGGTAATAAGACGTATGCTAATCTTCTTATCAATCTTGCTGAAAAATATGAAATTCCATTTGAGCAAAGTAAAATGCCAGAAGACCTTTACAAGTATAATGCAGACTATTCAGGTGCTCTTGCAGCACTGGATGAAAAGAATGGATCACTTAAAATGGAAGGACTCCTTGAACTATTTGGAATTAAAATCCATAAGTAGATTTTGATTTAAAGCTGTACTGAGACCTTTTTTATTTCAGTCAAATAAAGCAAAAGTGATTTAAACAAATTTTCTTGAGGTTGTCCTTTTATTGAAATATTTTCTTTCATACGTAGTATTTATAAAGAAAACTGATGATTCCAGTACAATATACTTATACACCCTCCATTCCAAAAGTTCCGGAACTTTTTAAAAATAATAGATACCAGTGGCGCCACCTACTGGATTTTATATGCGTTAGAAAGGTGGAGTTCCCATTGACATTGTGTAAAAGTTTCGTAAAGATCGGATGTAACCATGTCAAGATATTGCGTCTTATTTTTTAGTATCTTTTGCTCTCGGTGACGATTATTGCATATAGTCAGATGTATAGAATCTCTAGGACATGAAATAGACAGTAAGTCACTTTTTCACGATATTTTATTTGCTCATTTTCAGTTATAATAATAATAATATAATAATCTTTATTCACCGCCAAAACTGGCTGAGTCATTTGAGTTTTTACCATTTTTTATACATTTGTTGGTGGGAAAAAGGTATGAATCAGTGATATACTATGGTAAACATCTGATCACCGTTAAAAACCACATCTTTTCAATAATAATCTTACGACCACATACGATATTCTAACGGTCACCCACACGGTCCACCAGCCCGGGTCAGTAGGTCGAATGAACACTCAGCCACCATCCCAGGCTGCACGGTAAAGGTAAATAGACCGAATGGGGCCGCCAAATTCGCAGCGGTCACTACGCCCCCCATGGCCAAAAGTTAAAATTACATATTTATAACAAATAAATGAATAAACAACATTAATAACAATATTTGTAAACAAAAAAACTAAAAGAAAAATTACAAAAAGTTTATGGTGTGTTGAGTAGAATTCGCCACACTCGTCACATCATCCCAAACTATGTAAAACGCGATGTTGCTACTTCGTTAATCGATCCCATATTGAGTTATGGTGATGTGATCACATATGGTTGGGGAGCTCATGGCTCTGCCAATCAACAAAATCGTATCTCAATAGCTGATAACGATAAAATCTGAATAATTAGTTTTTTTCTATCAATTTCTTGTCATTTATAAATTTGTAAACTGCTTGTTTTCCATTCTCGTGATCCATCTTTCATCATAAAATATTTATTTTATTATTATTTTTTATTATTTATTCAAAATTATCAATTATTTATTTTATTCTATTTTATTTTATTATTTATTATTTATTGAATTATTTATTTATTTATTTATTTAATTACTTATTCTTATTTTGTTATTTTTTTATCATTTTTAATTTATTTTATTTTATTATTTTATTTCCAAAATATATTTAAGATAATATTAAGTATTTCCTCTAATTCTCCTGAATTAGACCGGTTTTGCCATGGTTTTCCGGATCCAATATTGGTATTTATAGTAACCCGTAAATACCCTCCCTCCCCTATATTGTATCTATCTCTTTTTAAAAGTCCATGGGCGGAATTTATACCTTATTGGGCACATAGCCAGCATGTGTCTAGTTTACTAGACTCACACAATGGTATAAATTTAGGATTGGTAATAAATAAATAAATAAATAAAAATATTATGACGATATATTTCATATTTCAAAATGTTGAGCTTCTTTGTTTAAATAATTTTGTTTACTTTGCCAAAGCACCTTTTTTCCTCAATCATATTATTTCAGATGCTCAAAACAACACATCTTATTCAAATATGTACAATATTAAGATTTTACACTGATAAATTAGCTATACCTGTTCCATTACAAAACAAATAACCCATTTCTCAATTCAACTACCTACGTCAATTAGAATCATTAAAGACAACAAAACCGTGTAAAAATTGTATACTTTTATGGCGCAGATTTGTAATTTTATAATAGTTTTTAATCGCTGTTTGAAGTTTTTGAGAAAGAATGTACAAGGATCACTTTTTTGTGTATTTATAAACTAATTTTGTTGTTGAATTAAAGTTTTACAAAACATTTTTTAAAAAACAGGATATGCGTTATCAAGCCCAATTTTACAAAGATTGCTGCCGTTGGCCAATATAATGTATCTCTCTCCCCAATTCTGTCCTTTGGAGTTTTTAAATATAAAGCATTTTTTCTGATTTCCTTTCTCTATTCCGTATCCAACGATGAGAACAGCATGATCCGTTTCATAGTTATTGCACTCCGTATTTGAATAAATAAATTGCCCATAGAATCGGTAAAATTCTTTGTGTACACAAGAGAACCACGATTCGTGGCTCACGAATAATTCAATGGTACACCATTTTCCATTTACATTGACAGATATCATCTTGGGGTTACCCACGAACTCGATACTAGAAAAACTAGAACATTTTAGAAAGATGTCAAATGTACATGTCATATGGCGTTTTACTAGAAATATTAGAAAAAATTAGCACATATTAGAATCCGTGGTTTCCCCCTCGGATATCATTGTTATTGAATCTCTCTATGTTTAACGATCTCAATCTTTCTTGACTGAATAAAAATATTTTGGTAATTTTATATTTCTCGAAAATAAACTAATTTTATTACTAATATGTAAGTAATCATCTTCAAACAATAGTGACAATTTTTTTTTTGACCGAATTGTGCAATTTTAATTGACGACAATTTAAATTTCTCATTATTTTCTTCATACATTTGATACAATTTCCCATTTCATTTCAATGTCAGATTGATTACAAGTATCTAGTACGATACCAGTTTGGTTTTTTCGCATACACAAACTGCTTTCTCGATGCACTATCCAGTGTTTCTATAAAATTTAAAATAAATTTAGCTTTTTAGCTTGAATATATCATCGTCTTCTAAAATTGAATCGTTGCGGCGAACGAGTAGCTCTTATTTTTCTCCAAATAATACTGCAACATAAAGTTTTTTATGAATAGTTTATTTGTTGTATTACAACAAATAAACCGTGTGAAAAAAACTTCATGTTGCAGTATTATTTGGAGAAAAATAAGAGCTACTGTTTCGCCGCAACGATTTAATTAACCTCTTTGTTATAGTCCCACTGTTGATATTTGTCGTCTTCATTGCATGAAACTAAAACAACGGATTTCCCTTGAATTCCCACACATGACAATCTCCATGTCATCATTTGGCCATGAACAGTGAATGCGAAGAATTGTGCACCACCTTCACCTACAGATTTATATTTGAGGTATCTTATTGGTTATTGTTGTTGTGGAACATACTGTATCAGTTAATCAAATGAAAAAAATAAGTGAAGAAAACTTCTTATTCTAATACAAATTTAACGTGATTTAAAAAATAACATGCTAACGTTTTCGGAAACAATGTTTCCATCATCAGGTGAGCTATTAAGTTTTAAGTAGTTTTCTTCACTTATAGTATCTTATTAGTATTATAAATATAAATGATATTTTAATAATATAATACGGCGGAATCTTATTAAAGTATTTTAGTAGATATTTTATTAGTCGCATCTTATTATTCATTATCCTCACCATGGCATGTATACGGTATAAGTGCTTGTGATACTGTCATTGTGTATGCATCTAAACATATATTGTGCAATCCATTTCTTATCTAAAGCGGAAGATTTATTAAAATGATTCAATTATCGATTAACCGATGATTATCTCTGATTAGAAATATTTTCACACGCTAAATACAACGTAACGACGTAAAAGCGAAACATATTTAAAGAATGTCCGCACAAAAGCGAATGCAATAAATGTGTCTGATGAACTTTTATACTGATGTTGCGTTGTATTTAACTGCGCTACTGGTTAAAGGTATAGTTGAATGTTAGGAGAATAGTTGGCATAAATTTTTTAAATGACATTTCTTACAGTTCCCATTGTAATGAAAGGCTTTAACCATGCACTTTCTGGATAAATGTTCTCAAGGTACCATCGAAAACTTTTACATTGGAGTTTTTTTCTCAGATTTATTCGCTCTGTCAAATCACCCGTTGGAATACTCTTCCATTCTACATTTGGCACGTAAAATGTTAAAAAATAAAAAGAAAGTAGAACTGCTTGTAATTAATCTTACTTGGAAACGCTGCATAAATATAATCTTTGAAGTCGTCCATCCACACTTGAATGAAACGGTTGTTATTTCGAACTTTTATTTCATTTTTATTTCCATCAAACGAATAAGTTGACGATCGAAATAAATGTGCCACTCTAGAACAAGGCAATATCTCCAGTGATCCACCGCACATCCAAGTCTTTAAAATAATCAATTTATTCACAAAAATTCTATAAATTTCGAAAAATACATGCAAAATTGATATTTACTCTCACTGCCAATTCTAGGTTTTCTGTACCCCAGATGTCCTGAAAAAATATTTTTTTTATGAGAAAAACATCTTGAATTCGTTCTAAGACACTAACCATTCCTTCGTCGTATGAACCAATTTCGAAAAAGAATTCACGATCCATGGCAAAGGCACATCCAATGTGGGTTGGTGTTCGTATTGGAGCAGTTCTATCATGTTTCGTTCGAATAATTTCCCTTTGAGGAAGTGGAGACCTGCAACGAAACAATTATATTCGTTCTTGTTAATGAAACAACATTGTAGAAAAACATGAATTGACAAACTCACCAATCGAAAATCAAAGTCCAATGAATACCATTCATGTTGACCGGCAATGTCCTGTATTTCATGTCTTCAATTCCAATATTGTCTATAAGAGGTACAGCTACTACTGAACGATTCCAAGCGATTCGAGAGAGTAATGGAGGTAACCATCCATCTGTACATTCGATATGAGCGTCAAGAAAAACCAAAATATTCCCCTGTAACAATAAATCAATTTAAACATATAATTTAAGGAAAACTATAATTGTGTATTACTTTGGCCACATTGGCACCCTTCAGTCGAGCTCTTATCAATCCTTCTCGTTTTTCTGTGCGCATAATCTTAATATTGGCCGGAAGTGTTTTAACATAATCGTCAAGAGGCTGTTTAAGATGTGTCCAAGTGCTAGCATCATCCACTATAATTATTTCATCAATGAGTTCACGCGGCGAACGATCAATGATGCTCCAAACTGTGCGTAACAGTGTGGCCCATATCTCATTGTGCACAACAATTATCACAGTTGCTGTTGGTAATTTGTTTGGATAAATTAAGCTTCGACACTCAGGAAAACGATAGTCAGGCAAGGAGCGACGCATCGAAATTTTCTCAGATGCAAATGCATTATAATTATGCTCCTTACGAAGCTTTTTCATTAATTCTTTTTCATCAAGTCTTGGATAAAATGCACTTCCACCCTCACCACGATCAGAAGGATTTGATACATTCACCTTAATTGGCTCGTTCCATTCATGTAAATATTGTTGATCATACTGTTGTGGTATATTAAACGGCCAATTTGAATGGGAATTATTACGGGAACTGGGACGTAAATCATTATTGGAATAACGAGGTGCATTTCTCTAAAAAAAATCGAAAGTTCATTACTTTAGATTCAAATTGAAATCATTACCTGTTATAGCAGAATTACTTGTGCCAAAATGAGATAAAGTAAACCAATAATAACGATGCACAGCAAATTTTTTGTTGAAAATTTCTGTTTTCTCAAAATGAAAGCAGCCATAGGTTTTGTACTTAATAACATCATAATTTTACTTTAGAAATGAAATAAGTTAATTAATTAATTTATTATTGGAAAAATCAAACTGACTCAATTTATGCAGCTATTTTGACATTAAAGCATGAGATATATTCGCACATCTAGTCGTACATTGTGCTACGGGATTATTTTATAGGTGATAGCTCTGATTTCTCTGATTCAAACCTTTGAGCATTTTACATTCATGACTGCAGATATAGTCTCGAAATCTTAAAATGACGTGTGATGATTGACGCACAAGTTTTGAGAAAACATTTGTACAAATATAATATCACAAGTTTTAAATAAAAATTCGTTGTCATTTTCTCTCTACTGAATTCAGATCGATCAAGATAGAATCAATTAATTACTGAAATGTGTGAGATAGCATTAGATAGACTGATTTACGGGATAGGTCACATTTTACCTTACTTAGATAATTTTGTCATTGAATCTCATGAGTCATGTCCATTTAAAAAAATCTCTAGTTTGAACTCAATCAGATTTATTGACTGAATAAAAATTATTTGGTAATAATATATTTCTCAAAAATAAATTAATTCTATTTATAGCTAGCGATTTCATGAATGAACGTCTTTTGAACGATGTAATCATCCTTTACGCAATACGTGACGATATGTTTCAAATTTTGAAATTCAAAATGACGATATCCAGTACGAACCAGTTTTGTTTATTCACAGTCAAACACGTATCACTGGCGTTCTCACTGTATAATGAAACATTAAAATGTGTGTGAAATGTAAAGAAATTTAGATTTTTTTCCAGTAGAACTAGATGGCGCTAATAACTAAGCAAGTGCATACAAAAACTGCTTTTTCGATGCAATAGCTATTGTTCCTATAAGATTTCCGTACCAACCTCTTACGTATCAAATAGTGTTATAGATTTAGTGTTCTGATAGCCCTTAAAAAGGCTTTAAAAACATTTTATCTCATGGGGATTTACTTTGATCGCAATCCAAATTGCTTTTCGCTTAAACTATTGACAATAACGTGTACAGTGGATAAATAAACTATCGATCTATGATGACCGCGATTTGATGACCGCAAACGTGTATGCTCCGCATCAAGAAATTATACAATTGTCGAAAAGAGAGAGTTTGCGTGTTACTGCAAAAATGTCGGTGGTGTGCCGATACGTATATTTGGATCAAGTGAGAGAATTAGCATTCGATTGCATGCATCGTGTGTGTGTGTTAATGTTGAATTTATGTTGGCTATTGTAGTGTATGTTATGAGTTGTTGTCGTTTCTGGTGTAAATGCCATTGTCTTTGTTGGCTGAAAACATGCACAAAATCCATTTAAAGTTAGAGTCCGTACACACGAAGTACAAAATCGACGAGCTATGGAAATACGGCAGTCAAAACACACTAGCGAAAAATCATCAACCGCATTTTGATAATGTAAGTGTGTTGATAAATGAACCGAATTATCATAAACGTTTAACACAAGAAACATTGTATATTCTAAGCGAAAACAGATACAACGTAAGAACGGACACGCAACAGATATCAGCTGGCTAAATTGCATTATTAATTTTTGTTGTTTAAGTTAATTTATTATCACTACAGGTCGATAGTTTATTTATCTATTGCACACATTATTGTCGATATTTTAAGTGAAAAGCAATCTCCATGAGATAAAATGCCATTTTAAAGAGTCTCAAAATGGTAAATCTTTATACGTAAGATGTTGGAACGGAACTTTGTTTGTTATTTAAGTTTTTGTAATATATTATTTAGATTTCCCTGAAGATTGAATACAAAAATGTATTCGAAACGTCGAGAGAGTAAATAACTAAAGAACGTAAGGCCATTAGTCCAACAAAAATGAATATAATCTACGTGTTTTTTCCTATCAATTCAATTTAATTTAACCACGGCCATGTATCCAACAATGGACAATTTATCAAAATCTGTTACTTTGACATTCTATTAGAATCGAAAATAAAATCAGTAAGTTGATATTCAAGCGATTGCTTTAGCAGATGCTTTCATTCAGTTTGAAATCTCACGATTATTTAAAAATATGTCGGGCTGTACTATAGTAGTAATATTATATCTCGATAAATGAAAAAAAAAATGCTTTAATTTATTGAAAATTGTGGGTGATCGTATGAAGAACGACAATTATCTCTTACGCTATAGATGTATTTTATCGATGAACGACGACCTTCTTATGCACCTGACTTAAGTTCCCATTTAAATTTATTATCGAATGGGTTACAAGTATCAATTATAATCCTGTTTTCGTGTTTCGTCATGCAAAGGTTGCTTTCTCTGTGCACTATCCATTTTTCCTATAAATTTTGAAGTAAAAACTGTTATCAAGTTCATTTCTTGAAACAAAATGCGTCAATAGTCACACACCTCTTGCTTATAGTCCCAGAATTGAGACTTGTCGGTTTCAGAGCATTTAACCACAACAACTGATTTCTTATCAGAGCCAATCCCAACACATGGGTCTCGAAATGTCATAATTTGCCCAGAAGTGCTAAATGCAAAGAATTGCGCTCCACCAACATTATGACATGAATATGTCATTAAATTTTGTGATATTTTTATTGTGTATGCATCTAAGCACTTATTTTCCGCTACATTTTTTATCTATTATTGAAAAAAGAAAGATTAAAACGATACAAAGATTGGTTGGAGACTGGATTGTTCGAGTTTTGAGTAATAATCAATCCATAAAGCTCATTGCGTAAAACTTTTAATGATACTTAAGATAAGATTTCTATCTTACGCTTCCCATATTAATGAATTCTTTAAACCACGCGCTCTCGGGATAAATGTTTTCAAGGTACCAGCGAAAACTTTTGCAATTCAGTTGTTTTCTCAGATTTTTTCGTTGTGTCAAGTCACCTGGTGAAACACTTTTCGTTCCTATATAACAGTGACTATTGAATAAAAATGACCAGCTTTATGAAATACAATGAAACTAACTTGGATACGCAGCATAAATTCGATTTTTAAATTCATCCATCCACACTTCGATTAGACGATTATTGTTCCGCGTTTTTATCTGTTCGGCATTTCCATCAAACGAATAAGTTGACGATCGAAATAAATGTGCCACTCTAGAACAAGGCAATATCTCCAGTGATCCACCGCACATCCAAGTCTTTAATCAATCACAAAAAGTATATAGATTTCGAATGATTAATTGGTACGTATTCCAAAATATTATTCACCCTCCAAGCTAATTCAACGTTTTCGCTTCCCCAGATGTCCTAGAAACAACATTATTGTCAATTTAAAAAAAATGGCTCAGTCTTGAATCAATTCACAGACACTAACCATTCCTTCGTCGTATGAACCAATTTCGAAAAAGAATTCACGATCCATGGCAAAGGCACATCCAATGTGGGTTGGTGTTCGCAATGGAGCAGTTCTATCATGTTTCGTTCGAATAATTTCCCTCTCAGGAACTGGCATCCTTTAATGAAAAATAATGCGCTACTAAACGTGTGGTAAAATTTTAAAAAAAGGTTAACATACCAATCGAATATCAAAGACCAGTGAAGTCCGTTTATTTCTAGTGGAAATTTCTGGTATCCCATATTCTCCGTGCTAATCCCATCAATAAGAGGTACTGCCACAACCGAACGATCCCAAGCAATCCGGGAGAGTATTGGTTGCAGCCACCCTTCTGTACATTCAATATGGGCATCAAGAAAAATGAGAATATTTCCCTTGAAAAGAAAGAGATTTCTGCTTTGAAAGAAAGAAACTAATATTGACAATTTCAACATGTATGTGAATTACTTTCGCCATATTGGCACCCTTTATTCGCGCTCTTATTAATCCTTCTCGATTTTCTGTGCGCATAATCTTAATATTGGCCGGAAGGGTTTTAGCATAATCGTCAAGAGGCTGTTTAAGATGTGTCCAAGTGCTAGCATCATCCACAATAATTATTTCTTCAATAAGTTCACGCGGCGAACGATCAATGATGCTCCAAACTGTGCGTAACAGTGTGGCCCATATCTCATTGTGCACAACAATTATCACAGTTGCTGTTGGTAATTTTTTTGGATAAATTAAGCTTCGACATTCCGGAAATCGATAGTCGGGCAAAGAGCGACGTAACGACATTTTTTCCGATGCTAATACATTGTAGTGTTGTTCCTTTAAACGTTTTTCCATTATTGGTTTTTCATCACTCGTTGGAACAAAAGCAGTCCCATTTTCACCCCGACCTGAAGAAACTGATACGATCACTTTAGTTGGCTCGGTCCATTCACGTAAGTATATATAATCATAATTTTTGGATATTTTAAACATCCAATTTGAATGTAGACTTTTATCGTAAGAAACGGAAGAGCCATTTTTCTAAAACCATGCTAAAAATGATTAGTTTGGATTCACATTGGGAACTAACAAAATGTGCTGTATACCTTATAAGTAACTTGACTGATATTTGTTAAAGATAAATAAAGTAAAAATATTAGAATTAAGCATAACCAATTTCTTTTTGACACTTGCATTGCTCTTTTGAAGCAACCACGCGAATTTTTTACACTAAACAACATTACGATTTTGTCAGTATTATAAACGAAATAAAAAAAATGTCTTCTATATTGAAAAACTAGTCCCGTGAGAAAATAAGTTAGCTTACGTAGCTATTTTAAGACTGAATAGCATGATTTCTCGACATTATACATTTAAATGAATTTTTATCTTCTGATGATAAACTCATCTAACAACAGCTAACAAAAGATATTATGATAAAAAGTGTTTCGCAGATTTTTACGATAAAAAGATGTGTCTGATTTTACACAACTTCGACAGAAAACAATGATATATTTCACGTGCGTACAGTTCAAATTTATGATAAGGCGATATGAATGATAACCATTTTTGTTGGCTAGCAATAGAAGTTACCAAAATGTATTTAGTTAAATAAATAAAAAAAATCTTTATTCAAGTCTTTAAAAGCAAATCAAACTGTATACAAAAAAATTAAAATTTTAATTACGAATCCACAATTTTTGAAAAAATGAAATCACTTTTTGGGCCGTGGTGTTGCTATATGCGATACCAAAAGATGTTGTATATCATTTATTTTTTCAAGGTTATTGACGCCATAAAGTAATCGATGATCGGTGGTAAATTATCACTCTTAATTTCATACATTTTCTCATGAATTTGATTTAAATTCCCACTTCATGTGAATGTCAGATTGATAACAAGTATTGAGCACAATTTCAGTTTGAGTTTTTTTCATACACAATCCACTTTCTCGATGCACTAACCACTGTTCCTATAAAATTTAAAAATAAATTTAGCTTTTAAGCTTAAATTGTTTACCGTCTTTTAAAATTAACCTCTTTGTCATAGTTCCATAGTTGATATTTATCGTCTTCATTGCACGAAACTAAAACAACGGATTTTCTATAAACACCAACACATGACTCTCTGTATGTTATGATTTGGCCATGAACAGTGAATGCGAAAAATTGAGCGCCACCATCACCTGCAGATTTACATTTTAGGTGTCTTATTAGTATAGTAGTATTGGAATGAAAATCTTACTTCCAAGACTTTCATTTTTCGAACATGAAAATTTCAAATATGCCAAAGAAATAAGATTTTATTTGATTAATAAAAAAAAGATACGGAGGCAATAACAGATCTTACTACCCGCAATACCAGTGTTAGTCGCATCTTATTATTCATTATGTGGCATAATTGAAATGTCCGTGTTTGTTATAGCTACAAATCTGTATCCTCACCATGGCATGTATACGGTATAAGTGCTTGTGATATTTTCATTGTGTATGCATCTAAACATTTATTGTCCAATCCATTTCTTATCTAAACCGGAAGATAGATTAAAATGATAGGTTGAATGAACAGATAATTAAGCAAATAATTGGCATAAAGCAAATAACATTTCTTACACTTCCCATCGCAATGAACATTTTTAACCATACACTCTCTGGATAAATGTTCTCAAGATACCATCGAAAACTTTTACATCGTAGTTGTTTTCTCAGATTTATTCGCTCTGTCAAATCACCTGCTGGAATACGCTTCCATGCTATCCATCGTACATAAAAAATAGTAATGTTACAAAATAAGAATCCTCGATTTGCTTGTAATCTTACATGGGTACGCAGCATAAATATGATCTTTGAAGTCGTCCATCCACACTTGAATGAAACGGTTGTTATTTCGAACTTTTATTTCATTTTCATTTCCATCAAATGAATAAGTTGACGATCGAAATAAATGTGCCACTCTAGAACAAGGCAATATCTCCAGTGATCCACCGCACATCCAAGTCTTTAAAATAATCAATTTAATCACAAAAATTCTATAAATTTCGAAAAATACATGCAAAATTGATATTTACTCTCACTGCCAATTCTAGGTTTTCTGTACCCCAGATGTCCTGAAAAAACATTTTTTTTTTATGAGAAAAACATCTTGAATTCGTTCTGAGACACTAACCATTCCTTCGTCGTATGAACCAATTTCGAAAAAGAATTCACGATCCATGGCAAAGGCACATCCAATGTGGGTTGGTGTTCGTATTGGAGCAGTTCTATCATATTTCGTTCGAATAATTTCCCTTTGTGGAAGTGGAGACCTGCAACGAAACAATTATATTCGTTCTTGTTAATGAAACAACATTGTAGAAAAAGATGAATTGACAAACTCACCAATCGAAAATCAAAGACCAATGAAGACCATTCATGTCAACCGCCAATGCTGTGTATTTCATATCTTCAACTCCAATATCATCTATAAGAGGTACTGCTACTACTGACCGATTCCAAGCGATTCGAGAGAGTATTGGAGGTAACCATCCATCTGTACATTCGATGTGAGCGTCAAGAAATATCAAAATATTTCCCTTGAAAAGAGAGAGATTTCTGCTTTGAAAGAAAGAAACTACAATAGTATTGACAATTTCAAAATGTTTGTGAATTACTTTGGCCACATTTGCACCCTTCAGTCGAGCTCTTATCAATCCTTCTCGTTTTTCTGTGCGCATAATCTTAATATTGGCCGGAAGTGTTTTAACATAATCGTCAAGAGGCTGTTTAAGATGTGTCCAAGTGCTAGCATCATCCACTATAATTATTTCATCAATAAGTTCACGCGGCGAACGATCAATGATACTCCAAACTGTGCGTAACAGTGTGGCCCATATCTCATTGTGCACAACAATTATCACAGTTGCTGTTGGTAATTTGTTTGGATAAATTAAACTTCGACACTCAGGAAAACGATAGTCGGGCAAGGAGCGTCGCATCGAAATTTTCTCAGATGCAAATGCATTATAATTATGCTCCTTACGAAGCTTTTTCATTAATTCTTTTTCGTCATGTCTTGGATAAAATGCACTTCCACCTTCACCACGATCAGAAGGATTTGATACATTCACCTTAATTGGCTCGGTCCATTCATGTAAATATTGTTGATCATATTGTTGTGGTATTTTAAAAGGCCAATTCGAATATAAAATTTCCTCGTACGAAGCATTACGAATTTGATAGCTCTGTAATCGATTCTGTAAATCATTAATTCTACTCTCGCCTGAAACTCGATTTGAAATACCTGAAACTTATATTTTATGCTTTGAAATTTCTGTGTGAAGAAATAAACTAAGCAGAATAAAATAAAAATTATCCATATTTTCTTTTTCGGATGTACTCCTTTTTTAAAACAACCACGAAATAACATGATTGAGATTTATCAGCTAAATGTTATTAATATGTTAAGTTAATTGAAATAATCAACACGTCCAATTTGATATGAGGCGAATGTGAAACAAATACACATTATATTATATTATTTTATTTTGATTCAAAATGTTAAAACTCTTTAGTTCATCTTTAGTTGATTGTTCAACTTTGGCAGGTATTTCAAGACTACTGTCACCATCGGCGAATTATAAGATTATTCTCGATGTATTATAGTCTAAAAATTTGCACAGACCCCAGTGATTACAACAAATCAATTGAATACCAATATATTTATGATGATACGCGGACCAAATAGACATGATATTGGTATGAAAGTTTCAAAACGTATATTTTGATCGATATAGGCCATTTATTATTGCATCAATATATGAAGTTTGTTTGTGTGTATGAATCACACATTATTTGAGTATGAATAATCTGATAATGCTTATCAATAAAAATTCTTTCAAACAAATGGAAAAAGAGTGTCAAAAAGAGTTTTTTTTTTGAGATATGAACATTGGGTAATTTACAACATTTCATTCTTATGAACGAATATAAACATTGAAATCAATATATGTTTAATTGTCAGATGTTTGAAGATATGACTAGTAGTCATTGACTATTATCGACTCGACAACAGGTTTTTATTGATGTTTTATGTTTTTTGTCAATCGCAAAGCAATGCCATTTACGTTGTTCTTTAATCATCATTCAATGATTACTTTCTGAAAATGTATAGAATATGTCAAGTTTTACTAGGGAAATTTCTACCTACTTATTTGCACTCCATTATTGAACGATTCCATTACGACATAAGATTATTGGAACATTTTTTACAGCATTTGATAATCAAGACTTAATTCTATTCACAATTCATAAACTGGCATAATTTTAACAAATGTGTCACATTTTTTCGAACCTTCGAATTAAAGGTAAGACGGACATTTGCCCGTAGCTAACCTTATTAAGGTCCGCAATTTACGGAAAGTCCGAATCGTTCTCGGATTTCCGAACGTACTGTTACTAATTGAATTATCATGGACATCGAACAAAAAAAATCGATAAGAGCTAGTCATGGTTATCTAATAGTTAAACTCATTTTTAATTTATAGTAAAAATACGTTGTACAATGTACATGTACATAAAAATATTGATAATTTTTATCAGAGCCATTTATCAGCTACCTAAATATCGGATGATATTCTCAGACGATGGTACTCATTCTCTGAGTGCGTTGAATACAACGCAACATCAGTACAAAAGTTAGCGGATAATGACTGTGTTTTTTATTCTTTCTTGTGTGGATTTTCTTCGATTCTGTGTTGCTGTTTCGTAATTTCGTTGTATTTAATGCGCTCAGCTGTTGAGCACTGGTGTCTGAAAATATCAGTGGACATTCAAATAGCTGATACACTGTTCTGATTTTAAATGTCACATCTCAATATTTCGGCATATTTTATTTGCGGCAACAAATGTATCAACGATTATTGTTCAAGAACAAACACTCAAGAATGACCCGACACAATATCAGTTTCTTCTGATCAAATTCGTACCGACCAGTTAGTTTCCGCACTACAAATTAGTCATATATTGAAATATGCATTTTTTTCATGTCATATTGGTTGAATCGATTTGTGATTTCATGTGTAGAATATTAACCATGAATGAATGCAAAAGTATACTAATAAGCCTACTAAAAGAATATATAAAAGGTGGAAATGACTTGTTTAATTTAGTATTGAGATCATCATGTATTCGATAAAAGTTAAACAATTTTTAGTATTTACTATAAATTTATTTTTATATTTCGCTGCAAATGCTCACCCAATCGAAGAAAATGTGCAAAAATCAAATCAAACAAATGGAAAGTCGCATATTATTGGAATTTACCATAATAAATAATCGGTGTATAAGAATGTCATTTTACTTTTAATTTTAGAGGAATATGGAAAGTACTTTCAAGGTGATATTAAACTGACCACGAGACAGGAGGTTGCTTTAAGATATTCTTTTCGAAACGGATTGATTGATTCAAATTTCCGTTGGCCAAACAAAACTCTAATTTATGCATTTGACCCGAAGATGCATGGGAATGAAAGTGTCGTCAAAGACGCAATGAGCGAAATCGAGTCAGTATCATGCATTGCATTTAAGCAAAGAAACGATGAAGATGGCTATGTTTATTTCACAGTAAGTCTAATGAATAATTGTAACGATACTAAGACATTTTTAGATTTTACAAGTGTTATATTTGCATCCATAGTCTAGTGATTTCGGATGTTATACCTACTTGGGCTATCAGGGCGATCAACAAGTGTTGAATTTGGGAGACGGTTGCATGTACAAAGGAACTATAATGCATGAAATATTACACGGCAAGTTTTTTGGTTTCCAAGGTTAACGAAAATAAATTTGAATAAATAGTCATTTGTAGCTCTTGGATTTTTACACATGCAAAGCGCATATGATCGAGACGATTACATTGAAATTATTTGGGATAATATGATGCCTGGATTAGAAGCACAATTTGAAAAGTCTGGCTCCAACATTATTTCACACTTTGCCGGTGGTTACGATTATAAAAGTATAATGCACTATGGCGGAGCTGCATTCTCAAAAAATGGCAAACTAACTATTAAAACTAAAGTATGCGTTTTGTTCATTTTCAAAATTGTGTGAATACACTTATTTTTTCTTTAACTTTAAATAAGGACCCGAATCAACAAACATTTATTGGAAATAGAAACGGAATGAGTGACGAGGATATCCATAAATTGAATATAATGTATAATTGCTATTGATTTTATTGACTCGCAAAAATTGCGAGTATTTAAAGCATTTTTTTAATTGAAATCATTTTTCTATATATGAGATTCATTTAAATGAATTTGTAAAATATAAAAAAAATTGGATTTTTTTTAAAATAAAATAACTATATTTTGCATTTGAAAATTATAAACAACATTATATGATATAATAAATTAATTGAAATAATCAGCTATAGTTCAATTTGATTTTGGGATTAAAGGAACAGATATACATTTTTATTTTATTTTGATTAAACTTTAATGACATATACTTCTATTATGTACGAATTTCGGGTAAAAAATTTCCGAAATCGACCGGAATTTGACTACCCATCCAATCTATAGATTAGTTACTAAATGTTCATCATTTTCCTGAATCAAACTTTTTTCGGATGGTAATTTATGGTGTAGCCAAGTTGATTTAAAAATCCATTTAGTATGAATATCAGTCGAATTGCAATTTCCTATTATTACGTCATATTCATTATTCCGCATACATAATCCACTTTCTCTATGCACAATCCATTGTTTCTGTTGCATAACGAAATGAAATTATATCATTTTAAATTAATGCTTTTTAAATACAATGTGTATACCATTTGATTGAAATCCCACAGCTGTGTTTTATCTTCTTCACATCGAACTAAAATAACCGTTTTATTTTTTATGCCAACACAAATATTTTCCCTCGTCACGATATGACCCGATTTGGCGAATGCAAAAAATTGATTTGAACCTATCAACGAAAGGTAATTTTACTCATCAAATTCACAAGCTCAACGCTATTCGAATAACATGATTATTGTGTCAAAAATATTCTATCTAAGTAACCAGATTAGAACTGATTATCACTTACCCACTCCATGACAAGGAAACAATTTTAGTACGTTATTTAGGGATGTTGTATAAATGTCTAAACACCATTTTTTTTCCACATTTTTCATCTATAAATATTATTTAAAATATCGATTTTACTCTTCAGAAATATATATTCAGCTCTTTTCTTACTTCTCCCATCATAAGGTACTCTTTTAATAAAGTACTTTCCGGATATATATTATTAAGGTACCATTGAAAATTCTTGCATTTTAAACGCTTTTTCAAATCGAATCGCTCCGTTAGATTTCCAGCGGATACCTTTCTTACCTCTGAAAATAAACAGTAATCATTCATATTATCATTGATTTAAAACGATTACACACTCTCGCACACGAAATAGTAGAGCATTTAGCGGTTTGCTTTAAATCAAAAATTATTTTTTTTATTTCCGAAATATACCTGGATATGCCGCATAGAATAATTCTTTGAAATCATCCATCCAAACTTCAACAACACGTTTACTGTTTCGATTCGTTATTGTGTCTCTGTTACCATCAAATGAATACGTTGATTGTCGATATAAATGTGCAACGCGAGAACAAGGTACCGCTTCAAGTGCACCACCACATAACCAAACCTAAAATGATCACATGTAAGAACTATCAAAATATCGATTTGGTTTTTCTTACCCGAAATGCCAATTCAACGTTTTCGCTTCCCCAGATATCCTGAAAACAACATTATTGTAATATTTCATTGGCTCATGGCCAGTATTGAATTCGTTCCAAGACACTTACCATTCCTTCGTCATATGAACCAATTTCGAAAAAGAATTCCCGATCAATTGAAAAAGCGCATCCAACATGTGTGGGGGTGCGAATTGGAGCGGTTGGATCATTGTTTGTCCTTTTCAATTCCCTCTGAGGAATATACATCCAATGAAAAATAAGATTCCATCGCAAGGTGTTGATTTGCAATTCTTTGGCAGCACTGTATCTCATGTTATCGGAAATGATTGCATCGATAAGTGGAACAACCACAACAGAACGATCGTTAGCGATCCGCGAGAGAATTGGTTGTAACCAACCCTCAGTGCATTCCATGTGAGCGTCCAAGAAGGTCAGAATATTGCCCTAAAAGATAATTCATCACATAAAAAATAAATCAATTGAAAAGAAAATATCGTCACCTTTGCATTATTGGCACCAATCAATCGAGCTCGTATCAATCCTTCTCGTTTTTTTGTTCGAATAATCTTAACATTGGCCGGGAGTGTTGCAACGTAGTCGTCTAATGGTTGTTTAAGATGTGACCATTTACTGTCATCGTCCACTAAAATTATTTCTTCGATAAGTTCACGGGGGGAACGATCAATAATACTCCAAATAGTTCGTAGTAAAGTCGACCATATTTCGTTATGAATCACTACAATCACGCTTGTGGTTGGCAGTTTGTCGGGATAAACTAAGCTTCGGCATTCGGGAAATCGGTAGTCAGGTAAAGATCGTCGTGATGAAATTTTATCGGATGCAAATGCATTGAAATTATATTGATCTTTAAGCTGTTTCATTAATTCTATTTCATCATTTGCTGGCAAATATGCAGCTCCATTTTCTCCAGGTGCCAATGGATTCGATACATTCAATCGCATCGGTTCAGTCCACTTACGAACAAGTGCCTGATCATAATTTCTTGTTATTTTAAATGTCCAATTTGACCGTAAATTGTCTTCATAATAATTTGGAATTTGGAATTTCTGGAATGGCAGATTCGTATGAAGCGAAAATTAACGGAAAACAAAATATCAAAAACATTGTTTACCTTTTGTGATTTGGTTTGAACATCTGTGTTTATTTGGTATGTACTGGTTGTGTGATTTGTTTTTGGGTTCTGTTTCAAATTCTTATCATCTTTCGATTCATTTTTACCGATTTCAATGCTCATGCTTACGGTACCCACAATTTGTTGTATTTTTTCAAAATTACTACTTTTGCTCGGCTTCAATTTTTTTGAATGTTGTTTTTTGGATGAAGTTGATGTTTTTGAATCCACTTGATTTCGACTTAGTCGACTTATGAATTTTTTCACATCATTTTTTTTTTCAAAATGTTCATTCTCCTGTGCCTCTTGTAAAATTGAGGGTTTTTTCAATGATTTTGGATGTTTAAACACATATTCTTCATTCCGAGATTTATGAAAGACGGTGTTATCATGTGAAAATGGTGTTTCTTCATGTGCAAATTTTGTTGGTAATTCTCTATTTAGAATAGCAAAAAGAATTATGCACATTAATCCAAACGAGAATAGAACGACCACAATAAGTCTCCAAAATCGCTTAAAGATGTGCACTGCCATTTTCAGCACGAGAAAAAATGATGCTTTTTGTACGTTCAACGCTAAAGAACTTTCATAACTCTGACCCTTCCATGTCTCGGAACCTATCAACAAAAAATAATTTTACTCACTAAATTCACAAGTTCAATGCTGCTCGATTAACACCATTACTGTGTTTTTATTTTGAAATGTAAAAACAAACGTTCAATCTAAGTAACCAGACTAGAACTGATCGCTACAAATTCTATCTATTATCACAATAGAAGGTAATTAACATTACATTTCGAAAAAACACACTTTTCTGTACAAAATTTACCTTTTATAGTTTGGATATGCATAATTAACTGAACTAATGTCGGTGATCATGTGCCAATGGCAACGGCATCGATGTGAATATTAATCAGAGAATCAAAACCGAAACACTTTGGATTATTCATGAAGACAATACAGTTATTCACATCTGTGTAAATAATATCCGTTGCATAAATTACGGCACATTTCTACAGTTTACATTGATATTTATAAAATAGATTAGGTGTTATTTACAAAACAGATTTCAATTTTAAGTAAATACAATAACGAAACGTCAACTAATTGAATAAATACAGTATTTGGCAACACTTTTATTGAATACTACAATATAACATTTAGGCATTTTTTCTACACCGATTAAAAAACGGAATTTTTCTACGTCAGTGTCTTTTTTTTTCAGTTGGTTGAATTCAATTCCCAATTTATATCTTTGTCGCTTTTTTCACAATTTGCCAATACCTAAGGGGAAAATCACAAAAGAAAAGAATCGAATTAATTTAAAACAATCGACAAATAATCGTAAAACAATCAATAATAATTAATAGGCAATTTTTAAGTGATTTGCCCCTAGCCAATACCGCTTTGGACATTTCATTTTTTAGACAAAGTCCGGTTTCTATATGAATAATCCACTGATTCTGAAATTCATAAAATTGAAGAAAAAAACATCAGCTCATTCAAACATGTTTTTTAAAGCGAATAAGCAAAGAATACTTTTTTTTCATAGCTCCATAGTTGTGTTGGATGTTGAGAACATTCAACCAAAATCACCGAAATTTTGTCATCAGATACACCAACGCAAAGTTCTTCTGCCGTTATAATTTGTCCGTTTTTCTCAAATGCAAAAAACTGATTTGCCCCGGAATGATGACAACCAAATAAAGCCAATTGCTCTTTTTCTCTTGCCTTATATAGGTCCAAACACGTTTTATCCGCAACACTCACTACCTAAAAATCCGTAAACGAATTTTCAAAGGATCCGATTTCAAAAAGGGCAATTTAGCTTACTTCACCAAAAAATACATAGTCCTTCAACCAATTGCTCTCTGGATACACATGCTCAAGATACCATCGAAAACTTTTACATTTAAAACGGCTCTTTAGGGCGATCCTATCAGTTAAGTTTCCCGGCTGAACTCCTTTCGATTCTACATTGACAAAATGAAAATCAAAGTTTGACCAGGCATATTTCTATATTCAATAGATTTGACAGGAGACCATACTTGGATTAGCTGCATAGAAAAGTTGCTTGAAATCGTCCATCCAGACTTCAACAAGACGCACATTATTTCGTGCTTTTATAACTGTCGCATCGCCATCAAATCCATAGTTTGAAATTCTAAATAGGTGTCCAACACGAGAGCACGGCAATATCTCCAGTGATCCACCACATTGCCACACCTAAAAGTTCATTCATGAAAATGTGATCCAAAAGTTTCAACTGGAATATCTTACGCGTAATGCCATTTCTAAGTTCTCTGATCCCCAAATATTCATCATACTGTCATATGAACCAATTTCAAAGAAAAACTCACGATCCACTGCAAAAGAGCATCCGATGTGAGTTGGCGTTCGTAGCGGGGCCGTTCGATCGAAATTTGTACGTATTCGTTCTCTTTGAGGAACACTCATGCTAAAGAAAAATTGCATAAATATTTCCAATAGATGGTTTTCACATTTATTTAAATTTCAAATATACTTAGTGAATATCAAATGCCATCGAAAACCATTTATGCCAAGCGAAGCAGAGTATGGGGAATAGGACATGTCATATGCAGATATTCGATCGATAACTGGAACAGCGACCACTGAACGATCCGATGCGATACGAGAGAGAATTGGTTGTAACCACCCTTCAGTACATTCAATATGCGAGTCGAAAAATGTCAACACCTCTCCCTGAAAATTACTCGATGCATTAATTTGGTTATGTGTACATTTATGCGTCCAAATATACTCTTCCATACTTTGGCTTCTTTGGCACCAATCAATCGCGATCGTATTAAACCTTCTCGTCTCGCGTTGTGAATAATTTTAATGTTAATCGACAGATGCGTAAAATTGCCATGAATTTTATGCGTTAAGTTTTTGTCGGAACTGAAGTCATCAACTAAAATAATCTCTTTTAGTAATTCCCTTGGAGATCTATCAATAATGCTCCATATAGTTCGTAGTAAAGTGCTAATATCTTCGTTGTGAAAAATAATAATGATGCTGGTGGTCGGTAGTTTTTCTGGATACACCAAGGGATGACATTCTGGAAACCTAAGATCTGGTAAACTTCGACGCACCGAAATCATTTGAGATGCAAGTAAATTATAATTATGTTTATCCCAAAGCTGTTTCATTAATGGCTTCTGAGCATCTGACAATACGAATGCGGATCCATTTTCCCCTTGCGAACCAAGCTCTCGCTTAGTACGTACTTTGCTCCATTTATGCAATTTCGAGTGGTCGTAATGTTTCAATATTTTGAAATTCCATTCCGTTCGCAAACCATCGTCATAGTAAATGGGTCGTCTTTCGTGCTAAAAAAAAAACAAATAAGAACCAAAATGCTGTGAAGTATCTTAACAGACCTGTTTTTCGATTTTGTGTTGAATTAATTGGTCATGGTGGAAAGATTTTAATAGCAACACTGCGCACACAACTCCAAAGAGAATCCAAACGATTGTTTTTATCTTCAACAACTTTCGAATTAGAATAAAAATGCTTAAAGTTAAAAGTCCAGGAAACTGATTTTGTTGATTCTCTATATTTGATTCACCTATTTCTATATTCATTTTTTTAAATAATAATCTTTGGAGCCAAAAACACACAATGAATGAATGATTGATTCAAGTAGTCTGCATATAAGCTACTTGCTCTAATGAGATATTCGGCAAAACGTACAGTAATTTTCACATAGTTATTGTTCATTTCACCGGTTTATTTGGATTTCTCACAGTGTTATTAGGTTCAATCTACGTCAAATGTATGACAAAAATATATTTAAACAATAATTAATCAATACCTTTTTCTAATATGTTTATCGTTCATACTGGATAAACCAAAATGTTTCAATAAACACGTTCACCTAAAATACACCTTAAATTCACATCAGTTTATTACAGACAATATATTTAGCTGCCGTCATCTGGATATTACAGCTCATCTGGATATCGTCAGCAGATGATACGAAGTGAAAACAATGGAAGTGATTGTTATAGGTATATAAGCTTGTTATATACTGGTATTACTATAACAATCACTTCTATTGTTTTCAATTCGTATCATCTGCTGACGGCATCCAGATGAGCTGAAATATCCAGATGACGGCAGCTAAATATATTGTCTGGTTTATTAGCACAGCTGTTGAATAAACTCAACAAAATGACAAAAGACTTTTGAATATGTCTCTAAAAGATTTATTCAGAATGTTCCAATCGCTTTTGATAAATACATATTAAAGTGCTTAATTTATGCAAACAAATGTTTTTGAATGATCCAATTGGTTTTATGAGAGCTTTATTGAATATGTTCAAAAGAAATTTAAAATGTTGCAATAAAAATAAACAACTACTGAAGAATTATTTGAATCAGAAGAACGGACACAATCGTAGTGTAATTGCTTAACTGCCTGGTGGAGGTGGTGGAGGCGGGACCGTTGGTAAAGGCGGCAAATTACAATTATTGCCATTACTCCATGGATATTGTTGAGCCGGTGGTGGTGGTAATGGTGCGCTCCAATTCTATACAAATGTGTATGGGCAAAAATCAGATCAATTGAACTTTTTAAAAAAAAAATAGAAGAAGAAAACTATACTCACAGAAGTGGGGTACTCAACTCCGGGTGGAGGTGGTGGAACAAATGGTGGCGGTGCATTGCCAGTTGGAACAGGCGGTAAATCGGTGCCTGGAATTTGTGGTTGATTATTCCACATTGGAGGTCGAATCGATGGTGGAGGCATTGCCTAAGAACAACAGACGGAAAGTCCACATTTTTAGCAAAAACAAAAAAAAATGAAGAAATTGTTAAAAAAACATACAAAAGATCCTGGTGGTGGTGGTAATGGTGGCATTGGCGGTGGCTGTCCATTCCAATTATTTGGCGGCATACGTGGTTGTTGCTGAACTGGTGCTGATGATGACGGAGCTGGTGCAATTGCTTTTAATGGACCTTGATTACGCTCAAATATTGAAAATTGATTACGATTCGATGGCGCACTAAAAAAAGAATATTAATTCAATTAAATTGAAATATTCCATTGATATAGAGTGCCATTTATACATACCTTGATGGCGAATCATTTGATTTAGTTGCTGGCGGACCTTCGCCGAGTTCAGCCATCAAACTGAGATATTCCTCATCAATCTTAGCTTGCGAATTCAGATTTACAACTGGTGGTCCACCTTGGCCTGGACGTTTTCCTTTACAATCCTTGCTAATATGACCGGCAGCCCCACATGATGAACACATAATATTATTCGTAACATTTGGCTTATCAGGACATAACCAACTCTTATGTTCATTTGATCCGCAATTTGTGCATCGAGGTACATCGGTCTCGCGTAATGTGCCATTCAATTGAGCCAATTCGCGCAATTGCATTCGACGCAAATCATTATGCCCTTCTGGAACTTCAATTCCTTGTTTGATAACTTCGTTGATTTTTTCCACCGCTTTCTTCACACAATCCGCATTGGCGGCCGTGATGAATGCGTGCAATGGTTCATCTTCTCCGGGTAACGGTTGACCATCTTTGCGACCGACCTTCCCTTCTTTTACCGATCCCTTCCCACGAATAATGATCTTGGCTCCAGTTTCCTTTTCCATTGCCTTTAGCGTATTTCCACGTGGACCGATCAATAAACCAACAAAGTTGATATCTGGATGCTCTTCTTGTGGAATCAATACTTTGTCACTAACACGCACAACAGGTGCTCTATGTGAAGAAAAAAAAACAATGATGCAGTGTCAACATTTCAATGTTCATTTCAGAATGAAATGTGTTTACTTGTAATCCGATGGTGGTTTGAAGTCTGGATTCATGCACTGCATACGTAAAATCAGCTGATGACGTTGTTCTTCCAAACGCTTACGCGTACGAAATTCACGAGTGTTCAGCCGCTTGCCATCAGAACTGTAAATGGGCTCCGGAGACGGTGATCTGTAACGAAATACAAGAACAAAACGCTTGCTATGTGATAAAACCGCCTATCTGTCTGTGTTTTTTTGTTTGTTTAACGAATTGCGACTACTTTTAGTTCTAGGTTCTTTTAAAAAAAAAGTGAAAACGCTGTGAAAAAACGGTTTTTTGATTAGTATGAAAGTTGAACAAAAATTGAAGTCTTTCGTGTAGTCTGAGCAGGTAGCAGCCTAAAGAAATGTTGATATGATGTGTATCTGTTAACCATGGTGCATCCATCAAATCTCTGTGCACGGTTGATCTACGGAACTAAGGACCTGACTTTTATGATAAAATATACAGATTAATGGACTTTTTTTCTCTCTCTCTGTGTGTAACATTTAACATTTCAATAACACTGCTTGTTTCCGTAAACGATCATTATTCTTCGGTTTCCGATTGATGTCTTATTTTCGTTTCTTTTTTTATCATTCCAAATGGTTTTCCTTTTTTTTTTTTGACTAAGCGATTTTATCACAGAATTTCGTTTAAATGTTATGTCCCGAAGTGGGAAAACGATAGATAATAGTGAGTTTTGGTGTTTGTGAGTGTCAAACCTTTCTTCAACTGAAGCAATTCCCAATTCTCCGGTGCGTAGTTTGCGGCTGATTTCTTCGATTTGAAGTTGAACTGAAATGAAGCGGGTTAAGAAAAAGAAAAACAGAACGAGGCAAGCCTCGACATTAGAAAAATACATTCACGATGGTCAATTTCGGAAATCATTTTCCGCAAATACAAAAAAAATAATAATAATATAACTAAATATATTGAGAGAAAACGAAAAAAAGTTGGTGTTTTGTGTGTTTGTGGAGAGAGAAAGAGAGAGAAAACAATGTTTAAAATTGAAAAAAAAAATTGAAAAAATATTTCGATGGTTTTTGTTTGAGTGAAGGGAACTGAAAAAATAAATTTGTTGTTATTTCGTTAAAATTTGTTTTGCATTGATTAATTCGATATTTTTTTTTAGCCTAACGATTTTCGATTCGAATTGCACTCGGACACACGTTCGTACTGCAAAATATACATAACAGAAAATTTTAATTAATTTGCCACTTTTCCATGAAAATCCAGTTCGATTTTCAATGTCACACCCTCAAATACTTACGATCGTTCTATTGTTTATTATTATTTTTTAAATTCGCTTAATTTTGAAACGAAAAGCTTATGGATTTGAGCAACGACAACAACAAAAAAAAAAACATGTGTTAATTGCAATTTTGTTTTGAACAATTATTCTTTTGGCATCACTATGGAATAAAAAAATTGTGTGAGATTGAATGTTTGTTTTTGCTTGCGACAAACTTGAAAATAATAAAAATGCATTAATTAAAAATAAATGAAATAAAAAATTATTGTTCATTAATCGTATTAAAATATCCTGAAACGTCAAATGTTGACCATGTTTTTATCTCTATAAATAACTGTTTTTATTTAGTTTGGGATGAAAAAAATCAAGAAAAAAATTGAATCGAGCCCTGAAATTTTTGTTTTTGTTTTTATCAATACTCTACAGCTGAACCCAGAGGAATATGTACATATTTTCAATAATATAATTCAAAGGACATGATTAGATTATAAGAATTATTTTATAATTAGAATTTGTATTTTATAAAAATAAATGCGATAAAACTACAATAAACATGAATTTTATAACTACCTAGATAGGCTTCCGTTTGATTCGAGTCCAACGATGCCGGAAGAACTGTTGGCATTCCTGGAAATAAATGGGATTGAATTTGTATTTGGAAATGGGGTATAATGAATTAAAAAAAAAAAAACCTGGAATGTATGTCCGGTCATTTTCATTGCCTCCCCAGCGTGATTTCTTTTTACGAGCTCGTTCTCTAGCTGTACTTTCCGCATCTCCTGTGACAACAAAGTTTTATTTTGGTCAATAAAATGTCATTTGGTTTCTATTGCGAATAACTTACTGCTATTTGAAATTCCTTCGATATTTGTCGGTCCGTTGCTCAATGAATCGTTGCTATTTGAGCAGCTAAATGTTTCGGCAAAATTTTTCGATGCAGCAATACGTTTGCTCGCTTCAACTGCTTCCAAATATGCTTGACTTCGTTCTTTTGGTTGCGCTTGTGGTACTTCAATAACTGGTTGCGCTATATTTGTAACTGGGAACGACGCAAATGTTGAATATGATGACATTAACGATGGTATAATTTGTTCTTGGGGTTGTAAAAACGATTGCGACTGTTGAGCGATCGAACTAAATGCCCCCGATTGCTTAAATTCCAATGCGATTTGCCGCAATCTCTCTTTTTCAATTTCCTTTTCTCTGTTCTCTTCGCGTTCATATCTGTGCTCCTCACGACGATGTCTTCGACGTCGTTCAGTACTGGAATTACTTCGGCTACGACTTCTGCTTCGACGATGTTTTCGCTCTTTACTTCTGCTCCGCTTACTTTTTTTCGATCTGAAAAAAAATTGAAATTAATATAATTCACATCAACAACGAATACAATTCAATATGGCTGCCACGCCACCAGCGAGTTAGAAAAAAAACTTATTCATTTTACTTTTTCTTTTCACGGCGTTCCTTTGATCTGGATCTTGAACGTGAACGTGTCTTATCTTTATCCTTATGCTTGCTCATTTTTCTTATTTAAATTCGTCACTTTGATAAAATTTAAACCAAATTTATAATTTGATTCTCGTCACACAGTGCACTGAACACAGATAAAGAGAACTAAGCACCGAATTGCAACATGGCAACTGTCATAGTAGCGAATGTCAAACGCTCAAACCAATACTGATGCGTATACGTATACAGCGAACAAATATACACAGTATGCACATACATACGGAAGGTACGTTTAGCCGGTATAAATCACAATACACATTCACACAGGGGAATAGATGTACATTCTGCACACAAAATGTTTACTACATTTAAAAAATGAGACAGGGTTATCCACTGGAATAGCAACATCTTTCCAGTGTCACTTTTGAATGTTTTTATCTTCACGTGGATTTGTTTTCAAGCATTTATACACACAGCATTGATACACAGACGAACGTTTTAATTAAATAAATTATTGAATGTTCAAAGACAAAATTTATTAAACCAAAAATTTCCAAATAATCAGTGTAAATTGAGATTTTCTAATTGTCTATTCGATTTATTGTCAATGAATAGAAAAGTCTTTTAAAATTTAAAATAAGCTGAACACATTTATAACCTCAAAACAGTCGAGTAAAAGTGAATTTCTTTGAAAATGGCCAAATTTAAATCGAAAAAACATGGTAAATCGGATGCATTTGCCACCAAAAAGAAAGTTGAGAATGTGCAAAAGTCGATCAATCCATTTGAATTGCATACAAATCGTGAGAAAATTTCTGTACTTGGTCGTAGATTGAAACATGACAAAGGTATGCCGGGCATATCGCGTGCAAAGGCCACTCAAAAACGAAAAGAAACGCTGGGCCGTGAATTTTTGCAGAAAAATAAAACGAATCGTTTCAAAGATAATCGTATCGGTCGCCGTGGCATGTCAGAAGAGGATGCGGCCAATGCCAGATTCATTGCCGAACGATTGCAGCAATTTAAAACAAAGAAAAAAGAATCGAAATTTAATTTGAATGAGAGCGAAGATGTGCTCACACACAAAGGCCAAACGTTAGAGGAGATTCAACAATTTCACGATACAATATCCGACGATGACGACGACGATGAAATTGGAAAATTGAATGCTGAATTCACCGATGCCGCTCATTTCGGTGGCAAAAGTCTTGATGGCGATGGAAAACGAAAAAATGCCATTGAAGATTTAATTGCCGATCAAAAGCGACGCAAAGCCGAAATATCTTTGGAAAAAGAAGTCGTCTCGAATTTAACGCATAAATTGGATGAAAATTGGAAAGGTTTGGTGTCATTGATGAGCTTACAAAAGGATCAAAATGAAGATAGACCACAAGCAGACGATTTTGATAAAGCACTGAGAGAAATGGTTTTCGACCGTCGTGGTACCGTTTCGGATAAGCTGGGCTCAGAAGAGAAAATTCTGAAAAAAGAAAAAGCACGACTGGAACGATTGGAGAAAGAACGTTTGGATCGAATGCAGGGCATCACTGAAGAAGAGAAAAAACCAAAACATCGATCAGCTGACGATTTGGATGAGGGATACTTTTTGGAGCCCGCATTTCAAGAACAGAAAACGCTATCATATAATGATGATGGTAATATTAGCTTATTTTTGTTGTTATTACTTTTTACTTGAATGAAAATTCTCGTTTTCTTGATTAGGCAAAGCAAATCGTGATGATGACGACACTGACGAAGAACTGGATCGATTGATTGCGTTGAGTAAAAATGCACAAAATGGAGTTAATGAATGTGGTGAGAATGAAGAAGACGGTTCCGAGGAGGGTTCTGATGAAGAAGGTGAAGAGGAGGAGGAAAGCGGTGATGAAGCAGATGCATTTAGTGACTTGGTTTACGACAGTGATTCCGAACCAGAGTTAAACTCATCCAAAGATTCAAAGAAGAAAAAATCACCGATCAAAAACCCACCTTCATCTGATAAGAAAAAGAGTGACAAAGCAAAAGTGTTAACGGATGAAGAGCGAAAAGCAATGATGGAAAAAGCCCAAAAAGAACTACCGTATACATTCGATTTGCCCAATAAATACAATGAATTGGAAAAATTGCTGAAAAAACACAGTGCTGATTATCAAGCGGTAATTTTAGAGCGAATGATTAAATGTAATCATCCAAAAGTCGAACCGGCCAATCGTGAGAGGATGGTCACACTATTCGCTTTTCTGCTCCAATACATAAATGATGTTGCCTCTGGCGATGATCCAATTCATTGTTTCACCGTTTTAGACAGAATATTACCATTTATCTATGATTTAAGCCACATAAATCCGGCCGAAACGACAAAATGTTTCTTAGAAGTGATAAAAGAAAAACAAAGCGAATACCGTGGCACAAAAGAATTTCCCAAATTAGATACGTTGGTTTTTCTGAAAATTGTTTCCAATTTATATTCAGTATCTGATTTTCGTCATGGAATTGCATCGCCATGTGTCATTTTTATTAGTCAAATTCTAACAAGGTCCCGCGTTGCCAATCGTTCGGACATTTGCAAAGGACTATTTTTGGTTACGGTTTTATTAGAATACACACAGTTATCAAAGCGATATCTTCCGGCCGCAATAAATTTCTTGGCTGGTGTTTTATATTTGTGCATGAAAAAACGAAGTGTACAACAGCTAGTTGTAGTGCCGCCGTTTAAATCGGTCGGTGAATTGAATTCACTCTTGGTACTGAAGAAAGAAACCGCATTTGCAGGGGAGACACGTCTTATGTCAACGGATTTAATCGAAGATAAAATAGACAATTTATTCAAAGTTCGAGCATTTAATACAACAGTTTTATTAGCAAAGCACACCCTTTCACAATTAAATAACTGTGGCATGCAACAATTAGCGAAACCATTTTCAAAATACTTGGATAAAATCGAATTGAAAAATTATCCAAAAGAGTGCAAGGAAAATGTGTCAGCACTGTTGAAAGTTATAGATAACATAAATAATGAACCATTAACCTTCTTAGTACCTGAATTGAGACGACCAAAAACGCTCAGACAACTTGAACCGAAATATGAGCGCATATATGATGACCGAAGGGATCGCAGCAAAAACGCTGGTAATGCCGCCGTCCGCAAAGGTTTACAAAGAAAAATCAAGAAGGAAACTAAGGGAGCCGTTCGAGAAATTCGTCGTGATAATGCATTCTTGTCCAAAGTTCAACTTAAGAGAAGACTGCAAAGGTACTTATTTGTGACAAATGACACACTTTTTGTGATTTTTTTCTTCTAAACTGTTTCTCTTTCTTTTCCAGTGATTCCGAACGTAAAGAGAAAGTCAAACGTATCTTTGCCGAAGCTTCGATTCAACAATCAGAACTCAATGCCATCGATAGAAAGAAAAAGCATATGTAAATTTGTAAATTACATTTTTAAACAGAGAACTTTACAACATTTAATAAACGGAACAAAACTATTTCAAAAATTTGGAATTTTATTTGATCAATTACCTTTTCAAAAAATATGTTTGTATAAGCTACATCGGTGTTTTGTTAGAAATTTATGTGTTTGTTAATGAACTTGCATATAAAGAAAAATTCGGTATGAAATTTGTTTCAAAACTTTTGTATTTGCTCATGTATTTCTTTGGAACACAAAATTATACTCATAATAATCATAGCTTAAGAAAATTGTTTGTTGAAATATTCTTGTGAATCTTTTGTATTTGGCTTAATGGTAGCTGGATTTTTGTCTCGGCTCCAATTTGCTGGACACACTAAGAAGAAGAAAAATCATAATCAGTTTAAGAAGAAAACGTCTCACTGAACCATACCTTCGCCATGCTCTTCGAAATGTTGAATGGCTTGAATCAAACGTAGAGTTTCGTCTACCGAACGACCGATCGGGAGGTCATTTATCGTCTTTTGACGAATGACACCTTTCGGATCAATGATATAAATTCCACGCAATGCGATGCCCTCTTCTTTAATCAATACATCATAGTCGGTGGAAATTTTCTTTGTAATATCGGCTAACAATGGATATTGCAAATCGCCCAAACCTCCAACCTAGATTTAAAAAAAACATCTTTATAAAAAATAAATTTGTCGGATAATTCAAACAAATAAAGAATACCTTTCTTGGCGTGTTGATCCATGCCAAATGGCTGAAATGAGAATCGACTGAAACACCGACAATGGCAGTATTTAAAGCTTCAAACTCCTTAATACGATCACTGAAGGCGATAATTTCAGTTGGACACACAAAGGTACTGCAATCAGAAAACAAACAAAACTCAAACACCAACTTTGGGAACAGATATGTGAAAAACAAAATGATACATACAAATCAAGTGGATAGAAAAACAATACCAAGTATTTTCCTTTATAGTCTGACAATTGAATTTGCTTAAAGTCTTTTTGCACGACAGCCGTTCCTTGGAAATTTGGTGCTGGTTTCTGAACATCAGCTGCACACAATCGAACTCCTAATTTATTGCAAAATATATATATATTTGTATAACAGTGTTTTTGAAAATAGAAAATTAGGTTTTAAGACGACGAACCGGTGTGAAGTAGTTTTGCCTGTGTGCCGACTCTTGTCACCTAAAATGGAATAAATTTTTTGGTTATCAATAGTTTATTCGCAATTAAGTCACAAAATAACTTGCTTGGCTGGTAAGATTTTTCAGCATTGACAATTTTTTAACGAATGCCATGATTTTTATGCCGCAAAATTTTCAATCGAAATCAAATGTGTTCAGAATGAACTGTATCGCACAAATTATACGGTGAAAAAAAGACGAAATGTGATGTGACGGACGATACAGAGCAAATGTCATGCGAAACGTCAAACCCACTGTAGGTTAGTTGTACACTATTCAAAATGAATCAGAGCCTTGAATAGTGACGATATATCGAGTCTCTCGTCATAATTATAGCGATATCATGTAAATTCACAAGTACTTTAAACTGATAATTCTTGGAAATGCTTTTGAATTACTTCAAGCGATTACTTAGAGGTAGATGAGAAATCTAAGTATTATCACTCACCCAAGGTCATAAATTCATGCTTTGAATTGCAAGCGGCCATTCGTTACCTACAAATCAATGACAAGGCCTTCGATTCAAGGTGAAGGTTACAAAATCTGAATAATACTTTGTAAAATATACATTCATATTTTTCATTTGCATAAAACCAATCAATGTTTTAGGAAATGGAATATGCATATAAACTTGCCAATGTGGTAAAGAAAACAGCGTTTATTTGATTTGAATTTTCAATTTATTTTAACTTGATCGAGTGTCATTTTGCTTGAGCTGTTGATTTGAAGAAAGAAAAACTAATTACAGACCAATGGCATTTCAATATTAATGCCCAAATACTAAATATTTTTTATCTCCTACTGCTGCTGCTGCTGCTACTCTTTTGGTTGGGTTGTTGAATTTTAAACTTTTTTTTTGGCTTTTGAATCGTCTTATTTTTTAAAATTTTTAATTGTACGAAATAAATATAAAACTAGTCCTGATCAATTCAAATATATTCAACATTTTTTTGTTCAATGGTGGCCGTTGCCAGTTCATTCATCTTCGGGTATGTGACATTCTTTTTGTCGAGTTCATTTTGTGCCCATAAAATCAATTTCAATAAACTGATGATTCGTGGACTGGTATTTTCACAGTGCTGTGTTTTCAAAATGGCTGCATTCAATTCACTAGCCACTTTCTGGCGATGTGATTGTTCCAAAAGATCTGCAAATGGACTGTTTTGGGGCTTTTCAAAAGCAAGTAATGCCAACGTTCGTTCCAATTCAGTTCGAACTTCGGCATTCTTTTCACCAGCCTCGGACATTTGAGTTTGGGCAAATTGCAATGCTTCTTCGATTTTTCCATTTCTGTGGGAACGACAAAGGAAAATGTTAATATTGTTTTTTTTTTTAAATTCAATAAATGTGAATAAATGATGAAATTCAATGAAAATTTTACATTTAATTGTTTTGTTATTGGAACTATTACAAATAAAAATAAATGAAAATAAAAAAAACTAGCTCACCTGATCAATTCAATCAAGTGCAATTGTTGCAAGTGAAAGTACAAATATCGATCATTATCGAGCAACCAGGGATGCAATTTGTTCACCAAATGTGTGGCTTCTTGAATGCGACCACTTTGTACCGCTTCACGAATAAGAATTCGATTGTCCAGTGTATTCAGTGGAACGGATGGTTCAACGCCAGCTTCTGCTTGAAATTTTTCAGCTGCCTCTTTGAACCCTTCTGTAAAATCAAACGCAATAAATACAAAAATCAAATGAAAAAAAAAATAAACGCCAAATCACTTACCAGTCACCAAATAGTTCATAATCAACTTATTCATGTCAGCTTGTTTGAATTCGAAACTTTCTAAGCGAACTTGCCACTCTTCTTTTGTGAGTGGTTCTGATTTGTCATTATTATTGGAAGTGGATGCGTGATGGCTCATTTTGCTAAATTTGTTTCACTTAATGTATCCAATATAGCAAAAATTTTGATATTTTCTGTCTATTGATGGAAATTATACAAATTTTTCGTGTGATTTGTGATAGAATTTACTGAAAATTGTTTGATGATGCTTCGACGCAAAAGTGGTTTCCCTTTGTTGGCGACTTTGTTAGTTCTTTTTTTTCTTCTCTTTCTATTGTTTTCGTATAAATTGTAAATATTGACGTAACGATTGATGTGAAGTTGCAGCGAAACACTTGTGCAACTGGAGAGACTTTGACAGTTGAAATGTGTGTGTGAGAGACTTTTGGTTTGTAACCTAAATTTTGTATTCATTTTTTCCGAGCTGAGCTGTGAAAATCAATCAAAATGCCGATTAAAATTTCGAGTCGACTCGCTGCGAAGAAACGTTTGCAAGAAAATGTTTTGCATTTGTCACGTTTACGTACGAATATCCCAGCTGGCATGGCCTCATCAGGTAAGATTAAAATATGGTCTAAATTTGATAATTGGAATACAATTTAAAAATATATATTTATCATTAGCTCCACCACTTGGATCTCAGCTCGGTCAACGTAGTATAAATATTGCAAACTTTGTGAAGGATTTTAACGAACGAACATCAAACATAAAGAAAGGGATTCCGTTGCCAACACGAGCCAAAGCAACATCAGACAAAACATTCGATATGGACATACACATGCCGCCCGCCACATATTTCATCAAACAAGCAGCTGGCATTGAAAAAGGTACCACTCGACCAGGTCATGAGATTGCTGGTAAAATTACGCATCGCCATTTATATGAAATTGCACAAATTAAATTGAAGGACCCACCAAATGCATTGCTTACGCTCCAGCAAATGACACAAATGTTGGCCAGTGTATGCCGTACAGTGGGCGTTGAAATTGTTCGCCATTTGGATCCTGATGATTATGCTAAATTTTTGGCTGAACGCAAAATTATCATCGCAGAACAAAAGGCCGCCATGGAAAAGGAAAGAGAATCAAAAATGTTACGTAGTGGATAATTTCCAAAGAAAGAGTAGTTACGGTGGTAGAAATAAATAATAATAATTCAAAATAAGTGATATTTTTTTATTTAAAAGTCAATAGTTATGGAAACTACATGTCTTCTTCGATGAAACCGCTATTATTTTTCAGTTTTGAAATTGAGGCTCTTTTCAATTTCTTCGCCGACGACGGCTGATCAATGGAAAAACTTTTTCGCTTGAATGACTGCTTGTTACCCTTGTTCCCATCTGCCTTACTATTTGGTGTTTTGGATTTGATTGTCTTCAGCTAAATTTAGCAGATATATAAATATTTAATTACACCATTGTCATCCAAGAAAAAAAAAAACTATTTATACCTTATTTTTCGGCGTACTATTTTTCGACTTATTTTTGACTGGCTTGTTACTTCTTTCATCATCGTCATCATTTTCGATTACAACTTTACCAAAACTCTTCGATGAAATTGCAGCAGGTTTGTGTGTAACAGTTTCTTCTGTTGTTTCAACGTCAGAACCCTCCCGTTTCAAAATATATTCATCGGCAAAATCGGCTAGATTAATAATCGCCAAGCAAATGGGTCGGCATCCGATGTTCGTTGAACAAAGTTCGGTAATTTTTTGTTCATCAATATTCACCGTCCAAACGGTGATATCTCCATTGCTCGAAATTGACGCAAGATGATCATTTTGATAGTGAAGACCCTTTACACGTGTGCCCTCATACATTTGAAATATAACAGCCTCTTCTTTTTCCAAATGATCCCAAATCAATTTTCCATCATGCAACCCAATTAGAAGATTATTTTCATCTAACCAACATAAAGACGTTGGCTTTGAATCACATGGAATTGATTTGATAACACCAGCCTTTTCGATGCTCCACACTTCAACCGCTTTCGCACCAGAAAGCACAAAAATTTTCCCGCTCGGACAAAATTCAACAAATTCAATACTATAGCCCAAGTTTGATTTGCTCTTCAAATTTGTTGTGAAAATCTGGAAAGAAGTGTCATAAATTATTACTGCTAACCCTAATAAATATAAATGACTAGAAAAACATACTTGACGGCCTTTGACTAAATTCCATGTTCTCAACGTTAAATCGGCGCCCAAAGTCAAAGCCAATTTGCCACTGGGATGAATTGAAATGTGATTAACGGCTTTACCACCATGGGGTGCCTTCCATCGTCCCTCTGATATCCATGAACCGGTTCGTGTGGCCGCCAACGAACCATCAGAACTTGCCGTAAACAAATGGGTAGCATCCGGAGTGAAGCGAACGTGATTGATCATAGCATCGTGCATTGTAAGCAACTACATTCAAAAAATGATAATAGTTATTCAGAATTTAAAACTGCGGAGTAATCAATGATAAAAACCTGAATCTCTTGTCGCTTCTTCATGTCATACACATAAATACGATCATCAGCACCGCCGGAGGCTAGAAATTTCCCCTTCGCATGAACCGTTCGAATTGAAGCAATGTGTGCATGCACCGCAAATGACTGATGCATGGAGTACTTATCATCGCCATCCTAGTCGAAAATATATAATTGTGTAAAAATTGCATCGAAAATGTTGGCAAAATAATTATTTAAATTACCTCTTCAACTTTGTATCCGAGCAAAAATTGCTCATATGTACCGACAATTACTTCTATATTGGATGCCATTCCGTTATTATTCACTTGAAATCGCACATTGACAATGTTGTTATTTATCATTTGGTATAGGTTATGTGTATATTGTGTGTTAAGGTTCATTCACACGGTGATTGTCAAAAATAGGGCTTCGATGAATTGATTGAAAAATCAATGGAAAACTAAATGTTTTCATCGATTAAATTTTTTTATTTAAATTTTCAGAATATTAAATATCTTTTTTAATTTATGCAGGAAGAAAAAATCCATTTGAATAGCTTATAAATAAGAATAAAGAAAAAGTAAAAAAAGAAGACCCTGCCAAAGTCTACGTAATACGTAATTTCGTATATTATTACACGTGCCATTTTTTTTTTCATCGCATCTTTCTCAACAGACATGCCTAACGCTGTCATTAATTCGTTCTCTTTGTGTTTGCTGCCATTATTGTGAACACATGTGTTTTGTTATTTCACATCAAACGACGCAATAAATTTTCGTTTTTCATTCATCAATTATCATTGAAAAACCATTCAATTTAATTTATTTTCAATTGCGTTCGTGAACAAAACACAAAGACAACGATGGTTCGTGCTCCAGCAAATAATTTCAAGCGTCCAGGTGGTGAAAAAAGTGCGCATCATCATTTCAATCGTGATGATAGAGGAAAGCCCAGCAATAATGGAGCACGCTTCGGTGGTGGTTCACGTAATGGTGGCGGCGGATTTGGTGGTGGTGGCGGCAGTAAAAAATCAGTTGGTGAAAATTCATCATTGTCACAACCCGATTGGACCTCAATTCAGTTAAGTGCATTCAAAAAAGATTTCTATAAGCCAAATGCAATCGTTCAGCAGCGTTCAGAGTTTGAACTTGATGCATTCCGCACTGAGCACAGTATTACAATTCGTGGTCGTGCACCGAATCCAATCATCAATTTTGATGAAATCAACATGCCCGACTATGTGATGAACGAAATTCGTCGACAAGGTTACGAAAAACCAACACCGATTCAAGCACAAGGTTGGCCAATTGCGTTGAGTGGAGCGAATATGGTTGGCATCGCAAAAACTGGAAGTGGAAAAACACTTGGTTACATTTTACCAGCCATTATTCACATCAACAATCAACCGAGATTGTATCGTGGAGATGGACCGATCGCATTAGTGTTGGCACCCACACGTGAACTTGCCCAACAAATTCAACAAGTAGCCGGCGAATTTGGTTCCGAATCACAGGTGCGAAATACATGCTGCTTTGGTGGAGCATCACGTGGCCCACAAGCTCGAGACTTACAGCGGGGATGTGAAATTGTTATAGCCACACCCGGACGATTGATTGACTTTTTGGAATCTGGACAAACCAATCTTAAACGATGCACATATTTGGTGCTTGATGAAGGTAAGATTAAAAAATTGTTTTCACTGTATTATTCAATGATTCGATTGAATTAGTATTAATTGTGTGATTTTCTATTTAAAATAATAGCCGATCGTATGCTTGACATGGGTTTCGAGCCACAAATTCGAAAAATTATCGAACAAATTCGACCAGATCGTCAAGTATTGATGTGGTCTGCAACATGGCCAAAAGAGGTTCGTAAATTGGCAGCCGATTTTCTCGGTGAAGATTATATTCAGCTCAACATTGGTTCATTGGAATTGGCTGCCAATCACAATATTCGGCAAATCATTAACGTATGTGCCGATTCAGATAAAGAAGAAAAACTACAAGCATTGCTCGAATCAATCTACGACAGTGACAAAGAAGTTGGAAAAATTATCATTTTTGCGGAAACAAAGGCTCGTGTTGAAACCGTTGCTCGCTACATTCGGAGCTTTAATGTCCACTGTGTTGCTGTAAGTATCAATTTTTTAACAATTGTTTACATTTTGATTTTGGTTTTGCATGAGCGACAAAGTCAATTTATTGAGTAATGAATTGCACGTTCAAACCCAATAAGAATAGTAATTAATTTGGTTTTCTTTTCGGTTATAGATTCACGGTGATAAGTCACAACAAGAACGTGACTTTGTGCTGCGACAATTCCGTACAGGAAAGGCAAACATTTTAGTAGCAACCGATGTGGCAGCTCGTGGTTTAGATGTCGACGGTATTCGACACGTGGTAAATTATGATTATCCAGGAAATTCGGAGGACTATATTCATCGTATTGGACGTACAGGTCGATCAGACACTCTTGGAACATCGTACACATTTTTCACAGAAAATAATGCTCGCCAAGCATCTGATTTGGTGTCTGTATTACGTGAAGCCAAACAGGAAATCGATCCAAAACTTTTAGACATGGCCAATCGCAATCGCGGCCGTGGCAATAACTTTGACAAAGCTAGAAGATACGGTGGTTTCGGCGGACGATCAAATGGTGGATTCAGAAATGGCGGTGGCTTCGGTGGCAATGGAAACAGCTGGAGTGGAAACAGACAACGAAACGGTTATGGACAGAGCAACGGTGGCGGTTATTCCAATGGGAATACAAGAAAAACATTCGATTAAAATTCATTTTGCTCTACTATGTGTTCTAAGTTTTTTTTTTCTCTTCTAATTCCTAGCTTAATTTCACCCCCCAATTTTTTTTCTTTGAGTTAAGTAAATGAATTTGCAATCCAGAGTGTGTAAACAAAACGAAAGAAAAAGAAAACTCATCATAATATATTCCCGTAAATATTAACAATTTATTTAATTGGATGTCAGTGTTAGGAGAATTTTAGGAGAAACAGTGGAAATAGAAATATTACTAAAACGAGACAATTTGTCTCACAAATCGTACAAACATGTAATTTTTGCATTTCTGTCCAATGTCCCCTTTTTCTGGAAAAATAAAAAAAACCATAAATAAAACAAAATTTCTCTGCTTTTGAGACCGCAAAAAATATACTCTTTTTTTATTTAAAGAAAATCATTTTTCCCTCTACAAAATCGTAGTAAAATGTGCGTATAAAAATAATCATTTTATGTATGATTAAATTTTTATCGTAACAAAAATTCAAAAAATTTATTCAGGCACATTTTTCAAAATCGGTAGTGTATTTTTTCGAGAATTATTAAATACAACTGCAAATGGTATTTATTTAACTAAAAAAAATTGTAACAAAATTGAAAAAAAAAAAAAAAAAAAATTAGCTTAGATCTGAAAAACCAACAAAAAGAAGAAAAAATATTTATTGGAATTGATTGAATTTAGAATGTGCTATATCGTTGGATCAACTCAAAAGTCCTATTGTTGTTCGCTTTCGGTTTTTAGAATGATGGTTTTGTGTTGTTCTGCAGTTCAATTTGGTGTTTGTGAGTTTTTAATTTCCCCGGATGAGCTTCCACTTGGCCATAACGATACGATTATAATGATGACCAGAAAGACACCAATGCATCCCATGACGATCATCATTTTCATGTTGGCCCACCATTGTTTTCGTTTCAACTTGCCGGCTTGTTGTTCGAATTGTGATGCACCAGTTTGTAAGGCGTCGGCGCGTTGATCGAGTTCCGTTAATTTTTGATCACGTTCCAACACTTTTTCCACATTGACACGCATTATGCCAACCACTTCATCGACTTGGGCCTGTGTCTTTTGCAATCGTTTTTGCGATGGATTTTGACCGCCAATTGTGCTGTTGCTTTCGTTTGATCCAGAAGGCACCGACATTGTGTTTGTTTCGTAAAGTGATCAAAAATAAAAAAAATCTTCTTTGTTATAGATATCGCAAACAATTCTTTCCCTCCTCTTTTTTTAGATTTTATTCAGTAATTTTGTGCACAAAAACAATTTGTGATTGGAATTGAATACTTTTTTTTTGCAAATAAACAATAATTAAAATGAATACAGAAAATAAGATAAATTGAATGCAGCAAAACTAAAGTGACAAGCGAAGAAAAAAATTCCAAATAAAATGAAACGCAATGATTCACACTTGAAGTATGATGTATAATGTATACTTTGGTTTTGCATTCAATCAAAGCAATACACATATAAAATTGTTGTATGTTGCTTGTGATGCTGGTCTGTGTATGTGTATATGCAATTGTGTATGTGTGCGTGACACGTTAAATGACAGATGTTTGCTATACTCTTGTATTATTTCAATCAATTCTGTATCCTAACACATGACGCAGGCAAAGTGGTTGTCTGTTTATTTAATTTTTTTCCTGTACATATTAGATGGCATCGTTAGATAAAGTTCGAATTATAGTTGTTGGTGATTCAGGTGATTGCATATTCACGTGCAATATGTGCTGTACTAATTAAAATTTTGAAATGTCTTTATTTAAGGTGTGGGAAAAACATCTTTAGTTCATTTAATAGCACACAATGAGGCACTTGTGTCGCCCGGCTGGACGATCGGCTGCTCTGCCGAGGTGAAGTTACACGAATACAAGGAAGGAACGAATCAACAACAATCATTTTTCATTGAATTATTCGATATTGGCGGTTCGATTAGTCACAAAAATACGCGTGGCGTTTTTTATAATCCAACACACGGCATAATACTTGTGCATGATCTCACAAATCGAAAGAGTCATGATAATTTACAGCGATGGCTCTTTGAACTCATCAACAAGGATGGCAAAGATATTAATCGATCGAATAGTTGTGATAATGACATTGACCCCGAATTTTTTCTCGGATCGACACAGGTACACCAAAACAATTCAAATGTGAATTGCACTGGATTTTGTAGGATTGCTTTTTTATTATTAACACAAACTAAATAGACAATTTTGTAGATCTACTGCGATCGTTATGATTTTCTTAATAGCAACAAAAAACAAATTTAGTTAAAATCGTTTCAGATTCCGATACTGGTGATTGGAACCAAAGCCGATATGGTGGACAATAAGGAGCGAATTAGGGAACTGAATCGCGGCGGAAACATTGGTAATTGATCCTTTTTGTTCTTCAAATGAACGGTGGATTTTTCAGCTATTAGATTGAATTTGTTGCTATGATTTGGTTGTTATGATACCAAAAAAAAAATACTGACACAGAAAGCAATTATTTTATGTCGCTATCGCTCTTATCAACATTTGATTTTTGAAATCGTGGCAACAAAGTCATTCAGATACGAATAATTTATTGTTTTTTTTTTTACTACTTTCAGCCGAACAATGTGGTGCTGATGTAATTTGCCTAAATTGCCACGAAGTAAGAGGTTTAGCGACTGGATCAACAAATCTCCACAAATTAAATCGATTTTTCGATAAAGTGATTGAGCGAAAATACTTTTCCAAGGTCGATTCACTTGCAAACGATAAAAGAAAGTTCACACACTTTAGTATGTCACCGCCGTCATCATCTTCATATGCATCAACAAACAGAATAAACTCAGACAGTGTCATTTAATTGAGCATATTTTAAGCTAATAAAATAAGAGACAATGTTTTTTGTTACGAAATTTTCTTGTATTTTTTTATTGTTAACATTTGCTTCTGTCGAAGCTAACTGTAAATGGTGTATTTTATGCCCCAAGTGTAAATAAATTTGCTTGAATTTCAACGAAAATTAGCCTGGTGGCCATTTGAGTTGACGTTTGCCCAAGAAGTGAAGATGCAAATGATAAACCGACTGACATCCTTCTTTGCCATCGTTGATTACGACACGAAAACCATTTTCCAAGCCAACTTCTGCAGCCACTTTTTTACCAGCCAATAGCATATGACCCAACAAATCCTTGTCTTCGTCTTCTGCTTTCGATAATTGCGGAATTGGTTTGCGTGGAATAACCAAGAAATGAACCGGGGCTTGTGGGTTCACATCATTAAATGCTACGCACTGAAAAAAATAGAACAGTCATGATTATACGTCATTGTTTTATCATATCTTGTTTGCAAAGAATGAAAGCGGTTATGTGTATTGTTATGAATTTTAAATGAACGAATTATTTAAAAAGAAAAATGAGAAATTCCGGCAAAAAATTGGTTACTCTTACCTTATCATCTTCATAAATGAAATTACATGGAATTTCCTTGCGTAAAATTTTTCCGAAGATGGTATCCTCGGTTGGAACAGCGGTCTGAGCTTTTGCTTCTTCGTCCGACATGATCAACGATTTTGTCACACTAAAATTTCTTCTTGTTTGTAAACCTCCAAGAAATTTTTTGTACACAAGATGCAAGGTACCCATTAAGAAAATTTTGAATGTGGTTGATACTTTTGTATAGGTTATGTTCAACCATTTGTGTCAAAATGAAATTGCACATTTGAAACACACCTGAAATACAAACTCATTTGAAATCTTAATGACTTAATTGGCAATATTAATATATTTTTGCGTTGCTCTTTTTAAATTTACAGACAATGTCAAGCATCAAAAACACAACGATGAAATAAAATTTTCAATTATCAAATTTTATCTCATTTTGGAAGAGATTGTTTAAATCTATGAATCTCGTAGCACTTGATTTTTGACCAAATGAAATGACTTTGAATTGTGGATTAGTACAATAAATACAAAAATTACTTTTCTATATTAATCAGCTGGGAAAATTAAAAATAAACTCAACGAAAGAATACAAAGAGAAAATACATCGGTTTATCGCCTTGAACACCAAACATACTTTGAAAATGATAAATCATTTATCATTAAATTATAACCGATTATTTTATAACTGAATTCGTCAGAAGCACTTCAAAAATGACATGTCATAATGAAGCGAAAATTCAAATTTGGTGTTGGGACATGAATTTAGAAAAACCAATTGATTCCTTGATTGAGAATTATGCATAACCATGGTTATAATAAATATTGAGTTATTTTCATTTTAATTTCTCAATTAAAAAATGACTTTGACTTCTATTATCCTCTGTGGTGTAAACCTGTAGTTGCTGGTAATGCAATGCGATATACTTATATGACTCACATGAGTGTGTGTATAAATGACACGATTCGCAGAACAAATTGCACAAACATAAATGCAGCATTAGCACATTTCGGCAAATTCTTCATTTTCTCTCAATTTTATATAAAAAGGGCATTTTATCATTCATCTTTCTCAATTCGTTCAGTTTGAAACAGTATTATTACAGTCAAATAATCTTAAACATTTTCCATTATAATCGATTAATATCATTTATGTGTTTGTAGATTGGTATAACCAAAGCCATTTTGAGGTTAATTGCGATGAAAAATATATGCGCATTTGTCCTCGTTGCAATTTTTTGTTATCAAATATTTGATACAGAATGCAACATATTACCTCAAGCAATACAAATTATAACACGCAAAAACAATGTCTTTCAACTACAATTGGGGGACTTGAAACGTATACTGGAAAATGACGTCATCAAGGATCGATATGTGGTTGTTGTTTCAATTGCTGGTGCATTTCGGAAAGGCAAAAGTTTTCTTATGAATATTTTCATAAAATACTTGAATGCAAATGTAAGCCACATAACATTTTTATGAACAATTAAAGTGAATTCATATTTCTGGAATTATATATAATTCAATACAGTATAAAGGTCGTCATATATCAGATTGGTTAGGTGAGAATGGGGAAGGTTCCATAGCAGGCGGCTTTTCATGGCGAGGTGGACAAAAACCAGAAACAATGGGAATTTGGATGTGGTCAGAAGTGTTTACCCACGACTCTGAAAATGGGGATAAGTTAGCAATTGTTTTGATCGATACACAAGGCATCTTTGACGATAAAACTGGTTTCGAAGATTGTACAAAGATTTTTGCCATAAGTACGATGTTGTCATCAGTCCAATGTTTCAATATAATGCAGCACATCCAAGAAGATCATTTACAACAATTGGAATTTTTCACTGAATATGGTCGAATTGCTCAAATGCAAAAAAGCGCAAAACCATTTCAAAAACTGCTTTTCATAGTAAGAGACTGGCCGTATTCACATGAAACAAACTATGGCAATGGCCAAGCGCTCATAGATGAAATATTGACACCAACAGAGGATCAAGCACTCGAAATGCAAGAACTAAGAAAACGAATTAAATCCAGTTTTCAAAGCACGGAGGCATATTTACTGCCTCATCCAGGTAGGATCGTTGCTGAAGGCGATGAATTCACTGGTGATGTTCAGCAAATTGACCCGAAATTTAGAAAGTACGTGAAAAATTTGGTTATTTCACTTTTTGCACCTGAAAATCTCATTGTAAAAAGAATTAATAGCCAAAAGATGCGTGCTCAAGATTTGGTTCAATATTTCGAAACATATTTGAACATTTTCAAGGGAGATTCATTGCCAAAACCAAAAACAATTATTGAGGTATTTGACTATTTCTCATTTAAAAACAAAGAATTTAAAATCATTTTTTTTATTTATTTAAAAATAGGCGAATATAGATGCAAGTAACACGATTTTACAGAAAGAATGCCATAACTATTATATTAAAACAATGGATAAAAAGTTAGAAGAACGTGATCTATCCGCAACTGAACTCATTGACCTTCATAAGCAAACAAAATCAGAAGCAATATCACAGGTTCATAATTTAATAAGAGTTTAAGTTTTTGAAACAAAACTAAACATATTTTATTACAATAGTTTTTGGAAAAACCAAAACTTGGTAGTGATGACCATGCTTCCACATTTAAAAGCAAACTTGAATATGACATAGAGGAAACGTACCAAAGAATTGAAAAAGATAATTTGCAAAAACTAAAGTTTCACATCGAACAAGAAGAACACAAACGAAAAAATCGAAAACTCGAAAAAGATATTGAAGACATGAGAAGAAAAAAAAATACTGGCGGTTTAAAGATAGCATACACAATTATTGGAACGGGTGGTGGATTACTTCTTACATATTTTGCAGGCCCCCTTTCTCCATTTGTTGGTGGAATTGCTGGTTTCATAGCAGATAGGTTAAGATCAAATAATGATTCTGAATAAGATTAAAGCATTCATTTATATAATTTATTATTATTAATGTAATTAATAAATGGCAAAAACTTTATACATTCTAATACAGTTTGAATAAAGTTTTTTTCAATCTATGTGTAGAATATCAAAACCAATCAATGAGTGAAATCCTAAACAGTCATAATAAAATTGCAAATTACTTAAAAACTCAAAATACACATTTATTCAAATTAATTCGCTGTAACTTCAATATAAAGTTTAATTCATTTAGAAAATGTTCATTTATAATTTAAAAAAAATGAATAAATAACAAAAAAAAATGTAAATAAGTCTCATCACTTTCTGAAAATGTTCTTAGTTTATAACTATGTGGCAACAACAAAATTTATACTGAAAGTCGTATACTGGAATTGTTTATTGGCTATTCCAATCTCGATGGAGTTTTGAATGGCTTTCGTAAACTCTCTGGCGTAGGTTTAGCGCAAATATATGACTTTCGAATAGGAGGTGGAGTACCATAGCTTTGCAGACGATTTATTTTCTCCAGAAGCACTGAAGAATTTCGACCCACCGGTGACTCTGCGATAGTTGTTCGATTCAGACTTGTGTCTAGTGTTTTTGACGATATGTTTGAAATTGAATTTTCTTTGTTGCCTTGGTCATATTCCTTTAATTTTTCACAGCATTCTTCTACGTACTGATTCGGGTCAATTTTATCAATTTCCTCACGAAGATTGGCTAGCTTCAATGATCGTTCCGCTACTTTTGGACTCACTAAGAATGTAGTGAGTTCGGTAACAAATGCATGTGGTATACCTAATTTTAATATAATTTAAAATAATCGATAAGTAATCGGAGAATAATCGAAAAATAATCGGAAACATATAATGAAAAAATTGCAAAGCAATAGCCACAACAACAATAATGTCCAGCAATTGCTTTAAATTGAGATTTGGTAGTTGTAATCGTCGATTTCTGTGGAAGAGAATAAAAAAAATACTAGCTTACTATAGAATAGTACTTCTGGGTCTGCTGGTCACTACCTAGATACATACAATAACAGAAAAACAAACAATGAACATGAATTGCAGTAGATGAAATTAAATGAAAGCAATGAAATTGATTCGAATTGAAACATACCCCCCGGGAACGACCGCAGATACATTTCTTTAACTTTATGCTAAAGTTAACTTCTGTTGCCGGAAAGAATACGATTGCGGACCGGTTCGTAGTTTGGGCAAAATAGAAACTGAACGATACAAATTCGATACGATAGAATTAAAATTCATTTCACAATGAAGAAAATGCAATGCAAAAAAACTTACCGATCCTTTGTATTCATATTTTCCGGGTTCTGACATCGTTGTGGTCGGTTTGTGAACGATTACCAGTGTAAGAACTAAAAATGTGTCCATATTCTTCTTCGACATTTGATGTGTTCGATTTGTTGTTCCTGCCAATGAATGAATGTTGAAAACAAAAAAAAAATATTTGAAAAAAAAATCTTAAAAAAAGATTCAATTGCATATCGTAGTCAAAGTGGGCTTTGAAAAATCATGAGAAACTGCGTCGCACTATTGGCTAACGGTACCCGTAATCCAATGTGCGCAATGATGAAATTCATGATTTAACATGATTTTGTATTGTGTTCAATGTGTTTCTCTCTATCTCAATCTAATTCTAGCATGCAGTCAATTTTTTGTAAAAAAATTCGAAAATTCTGTTTAATATTATATTTTAAAATAATACTTACCGAACACATTTTTTGGAAAAACCGACAAAAATCCAATTCGAGAGAATATTTCACTTTCAATGCAACCTGAAAATTTATGCGCAGCAATTTTAGTTCTTACACTGATGATGGTTCAAGACGATGTGACTTGTTGCCGGCTTGTTGGTTTGAAATGTCACAGTCAAATATACTCTCGCACCAACACATTCAAATCGCCTTGTCGTTGACAGTGGCCGATATTGAACAGCGAATGCGTTAGCTACTATGCAAAACATGACATTATGACAACAGAGTAGAATATGTATTCAAACGAACTCACCCGAATGTGATTTCTTGTTGCTGTTGATACAGTTTTCGTTTATCCGTTTGCGTCGCCATGTTGTCGTCGTTGTGACGTTGTTCCGATGCAATGCTATTGTGTGTACAACATTGATTCTTTGTGTGTTGTTCTCTCCACTGCTACTACCAAATCTCAATTTTTCGTCAGCAATCTGTTATATGCTGTTGTGACTTTTGTTTCTTTCGTATGTTTTCTCTTACATTCTAATGGTTCCCCAATCATCTATCATTCACTCACTCACTCATCCACACACACACTCTCTCTCTCTTTTTATTTCACATAGATTCAATTTCCATCATCGTCATTTGACAATCTCATACGTAATACATATATTACAATTAATGACGATAATCGAAACTAATCGAAGAATAATCGCAAAACAATCAATAATAATTAATAAGTAATTTTTAAGTGATTTGCCCCTCGGGTATACCATTTCGAGTGCGTCGATGTGCATTTTCGATTGGTCTCCATTCCAATTGACTTATCATTAAACATCGATTGACTTGAACGATATCATCGCAAGCGTGATGTTGAATATTTGTCCAAAATTTGAGACAGAGCATATTTTTGTTGGCATCGGCAATGTATACCAATTGAAATGGGTAATTTGGTGCAACGGCTTCGATTTTTACGACAACACCAAATGTATCCACTTCATTGAAATATGGTTCGAACTGTTGTGAATTGACTTCAGCAAGAGAGAACAATTTCCGCTTGAATGGTTCATGTGACGTCGATGATGGAGACATTTGCACTTGCTGAATTTTAGTAAACCCACTAGTCGTCAATTGCACATCTTTCATACGCATCCCATTTGCCGTGACATAGCGAACATCTATAATTGTGTTTTCACGCATTGTGGGATGCGACTCATCAGCATTCCAAATAGACAGAATCACCGTTTTTGTTGCACACGGAGATACCGGATCGATCAATCGTATTTTTTGCAATGGTGTCGATTTCGTTGCATTCTTAATTGAATCCAATTTCTCTCGAACTATCGCACTGATTTTATTTTGCATTTCGTCGTTGCGTTTCGTTTGATAATCCTCCAATAGTTTGTGCTGAGTTGATGATAAATCCAGCTATGAAATGTAAAAAAAATGTTTTTACTATAAAGAACTTCAATTGATATATAAAAGTGAATGGTGTTTATGTACTTCAATGCTGTCATTTGAATTTTCCATGAAATTCCACAGCTCTTCTCCATCGTCAATATCACAAATTTTCTTCTTCGTTCGCTTTGATGCCTTTCGATCTTCCTCATATTCTTTTTCAATTATTATGCTGGCCTCTTCATAGAACTTCTCAACGTTTTCTAAGCGTTTTTTGTCATCTTTCTGATTCTGTCGTTGTTCTACTTTATTCGATCTGAAAACTATGCAAAAACAAATGATAATTCGGTTCCCTTCCGAATAAATTCAACGAAATCCTACCAGTTTTTTGTCCGTTTTCTGTTTGTTGTTTTACTGCGTAAATCAAGGGATAGATTCGTAAGACATATGCTCTCATTCGTGTAATTAAGCCACCGTTTCCATCGACGGAGTTCAGTGATATGGCGAACGGCCATGGCTCCTTGCAGTAGCCTAATTTCGCATACCATCTTGCTCTTCTGGTCGAATTAGCCGTTATTTTTAAAGCCACCGAAATTGGCATCTGAAAATATGGAATGTTTCGTGTAGAGAAATATCATTGCAATAATATGCAAATGTACATACTTCAAGTGGGCTACACGCTTCTTCAAATCCAATAATCTCAGCCCCTTGAATGATTAGTTTGGTTCCGATGGTAATTTTACCAGTGGTCACTGCATGCGATAAAACTGAATCTAAAACGTTCGATCTAATCGAATACCATCCGTCACATAATTCGAGCGTACATGCTGAGCTATTGTTTAATATGCGACTGACAAATAGTACCATGCGTTTGGCCGCTGAGTCATCACGTTCAACGATTCTTCGAATTACAGACCTTTTGACATCGTCAATCTCACGACCATATCGGTACTTGAGTTGTGTTAAAACCTGAAACAAAACAAAAACAATCAAAAATTGAAATCTATGAAATTTTTTCTCTGCGGCACTTACATTCTCCGGTGTGAGACCGTTTCCAGCAAATTTATGTGGATATGATCGTTCGTAACTTGCCAATTTCAGCATGATCCACTTTAAGGAATTGCCAATCCAGTGGTCTGGCACTAGTTTCGGGTCGACTGATGGACAACTAAGAAATGCGCTTGTCAATTCTTTGACTCCAACTCGTGAATTTTCGTCCATGATCAGACACATTTCATCTGGCATAACGATTCCATCGACATTTCTCCGGCACACATCATCCGAATAAAATTTCCACATATCGAATTTGAATTCAAGCACATTGTCAATATTCAGATCGATGACATTCGATTGAACACCCAATTCAATCAATTCATTGTGTTTGTACTTTTTTGGTGTGCCCAATTCGCAGAGTTTCTTCGGATCTAACATTTTCTGCAAAAAAAGCGAACCATAATGCCGACGAATTGGATGTGATTTTTTCAAGCACTGTGCTTGTTGTTTGCTCAACGCAGTTTTTCGTTCGAATTTAATTTCATCGGATATTTTCAATATATCAATTTCTACGTCGGTGACACTGTCATTGAGTAACTGAAAATCGTCTGTAATTGTTTCGTTCAAATTCAGCGATGAGTCGCTTTTATTAGCTGTTTCCAATTGAAAACGTTGCGTACTTGTTTCGAACAGGGCCGCAGCCATGTCACCATCGAGATAAGTGTCAAAATCTTTGGCTTTATTGTTGACGATCGGTGTGATTAGGGGACAGTGTGTGGTGTCGTTGGTGAAGTTTGGCGTGATTGGAAGACCACCTTTGATACCAATCAATGAACTGGGATTGGGTGTGCTCGTTATAAATGCGGTTGATGAATGATTGTTTTTCCTTAATGGTGTTTGACAAGCTAGAATATTTTCATTCAAATTGGCATCATCCTTAAATTCATTCCGCAAATTTCGATCGATCTCTTTGAGAGTTTGAGCATATTTTTCCATTTTTTTGGTCGAAATTTGAATGTTTGAACCGCCGGCTGTTGAAAACCCTCCCGCAAAACTTGTACCAGCTACATTTGATGATGACTTAAAACATCGATCAGTTTTAAGCTTGCCAAAATCAAAATCTTCACCGAAAAATGTCATGGTTTTTGCTATAGATTTGGGCACCAACTTGCTTGAGCCCATTGTTCGAAAACCTTCACATCTTGAATTCATGCTTTTCATGTTACCTTGATGTGAAGTCGAATTTTGAAATGACTCCGTTTCACTTGAATGCTTAAATTTTTTCGCGATCGGTTTTTCTTCCAAAACTGGATCGATTTGGTTATATTTTTCGTCGATGTCAGCAAATATGCTCGCTGTTCGTTTCATTTGTGCGGCTGTCATTTCAATAGATGTGCCACGAGCAGTTACAAAACCATTCACTGATGACGAATTTTTAAACAAATTTTCGGGATTTCTCTCCGGACGACCGAATTCAGCGCCAAAATGTAATCGTTTTGGTATCCGTTGTTCAATTGATATCGATTGTTTCGATGTTGATGGTGTCGAATGCATGTGCATTGTGTCTCCAATACGCCCTTTGATCAATGAAAAAGGCGTTGAAACTGACTGTTGATTTTGCGCTCGGCAACGGTTCACAATTTTTGGTGTATTGATATTTACAAAAATATCATCACCATCATCGTCAAGCAATTGAATCGATGGATTATGATAGTTCACGTCATTTGTCGTGTCAGCAACCTCATCACAATCCTCAAATAGTCGATTTGATGCTATGGTATTCTCCAATCGTCGATTGTTTCCCGTTGAGCGTTTCGAATTGTTTGGCGTATCAACGATCTTTTCAAAGTCATTATGTTCCGCAACACTTACAAAATCATCCGAGTCATACGCGAATTCTTTGAACTCTTCGTCGAGTGTAACCGTATTATGTGATAAATCTGTGCTGAAATCCAATTGATATGATTGTGGTTGTGTGAAATATGTATTAAGTTGTGTCAGATTTTCCAGAATACGTCGACTATCATTTAAAACAACGTCTATATCTTGCGTGTACTGAGTGCTTTCGACATCAAACTCATTCGGTAGATCGTCGTTGGTCGGCCCTTCTTTGTTATTATCGTCATCATCAAATGTCAAAACTTTTACTCGAGCCACGTGTATTCGGTCGTACGTTTTACGATTGGGTCGCCTAAGCAATACAACGGGTGGTGTGCGTGCAATTTCCTCTTCACTCTCATCATCATTAAAATCATCCAAAATGCTCTCAACAAAAGTCATAGCTTCCATATCACTTTGTATTGTTTCTATTCGTTCGTATTGTGACGTTGAGTATTCATTAAAAGAACGAATCGTGCGTTCGTTCACAGGACTTTGATTGGAACAATTTGCTTGCTCATTCATCGAAGTGTCACCTTTGCTTTGATTTTGCCACTCTGAAAATTGAATATTTTCAAGTGATACGTCCCTTGCCTCACGATCAACTAGAGAACCCAATAAGCTTGGTGAGCTGATGTGCGCTGATAATTCGTCATTCGATTCGACTGATGACACATTTTGCGATGATAACAATAAATCTTTAACCGAAACCAAACCGTGTGTTTGTGAAAGTGTTTGAGACACGTTGAAATTCTGTGAGTGTGACAACAAATCGAATTTATTACATTCTTCAATTAATTTTGTGTGGTGCAATATGTCAAAATCGTTTAACATTGACATTGTACGGTTTTTCTCTTCAGGCGATACATCATCGAGTCCTATATAAATATTTACATTATGTATTTTTACATCAGTTACACTATCCTCTGAACTTTTTTCACATTGACCACCATCGATTTTATCAGTTGATTTAATGGAAAGAATACTCTTTTGTTGCTGTAAATTTTTCGCGCGTTCGCTTAGTATTTCACGGCGAGGTTTCTTCTTTTGATGCGATGACTTGGAATTTCTTATGCTTAAACGTGATTTGCCCAATTTCACCGGTGGACTCGGCGGTATCACATCATCTCTATTCATATTGATTGACTTTTTTTTACAGTTTTACTAAACGAAAATTCTTAAACAAAACACTAACTAAATCAAAATGCTCTTTTGCATTGTTTACGCTTTACATGTTGAACGTTCCTATGGGCTATTTGTACTGAATGACACTTCGTGTGACACATAAGCGATCACAATGTATGTGTAATCTGCGTTACCGACATCGATTGAGCACTTTTTTTTATTGTTGAACGTTCAAATTTGAATTAATTTGAGCATCACTTGAGTATTTATGGTAAACAACGGACTTTTTGACGATGTCAATAATTTGTTTTACACTTATTTACTGTATCAAATTTAATTGAAAAACTACGATTTTTTTTCGCTTCCAAGTGACGGAAATGTGGAATAGAATAATTTGATAAAATTATAGGTTTGATAATAATCATAAATTTTTGTCATGATTTCTCCATAGTATATTCCACCGTGCTTAACTTTTCCGTGAACGATAGCAAGCAATAGCAGCTATATCCAAATAATAACAATATTGTTGTTCCAGTATTTGCTTTGCGCTTTTTTTTCTATCGTCGACACAACACCTGTTCAAATCATGAATATCGGCAAATTAATAGCGAGAAATTGATATTTGATAACAACAAACAATTGCCTGCTTGCGTTGTAAATGAGCTAATCGCAATTCGAATCACATGCAGTAACCGACGAATAAAACAAAAAAATGACGTTTCACCGGTAAAAAAAAATTAATTCACATATGATAATGTTCAATTGTTTTTATGTATCGTAAACACCTGAAATGAATCAATAGATATACCGGGTTTCACATGAAATAAAATAACGTCATGAAATGGTTCTGTTTTTCTGAAAATGTCTATTTACGTGGGCTAACTAAATTTGTGGAATAAACAACTATCGAAAAACAGATATGATTTGTTTTGCGCAAAAACAAATTTACCGCAATTGTAGGTATTATGCGTAGAAACGATTAGGCGATAGATATGAGAGATATAAGACTGACTACTAATAACATAATGATGGTTTTCATGCGAAAGTGAGAGTGTTGCTCATCAACATTCCACTTGACGAAGTGATGATCTCAATGAATTCTTAGTAGTTAATTCACTTGTTCATACATTTGTACAAAGAATTAAGCAAATAAAATGGAGCAACAAGATGCATCATTTAAAGCGATCTGAAGTGAATCGTAATGTCACCCATCGAGTATATAAACAAATGCCACGGCACACGCCGTATTTATCACAGTAATCAATGCGAGTTGCTCGTCAGTTAATCGTAAACAGTGGTCACGATCAGTGTGTTTAAATTGTGAACTGTTATCAAAGCAGCATATTTGAAACAGCTACAACATTATCGTCAAATCAACGACATAAGATGGAAAATCTAATCAACGGCCACAATCGTAATGCGTACGATTTAGATGGCGGTGAGTATAAAAAGAAGTGTTTTTTTCTTTATTGATTTATAGTAATATCGAACTCAATGCTAAACAGATCGAAAGTGTAGTCAGGTGGTGTGGAAATAAATTCAGTTTTTTTTTAGAAATTTAAAATTAATATCACATTAATATGGGTGAGAGTAAATTTTTTTGTCTATGTATACTTTCTACAATTTTTCGCGAAAAAAGAAATCAAATTTCAAAATACCTTTTCAAATCGAATATTTGGTTTTCTACATGTAATACGCTCAGATTTCAACATAAGTTACCTTAACTCTCACCGCCGATAGAACAATGCTCAGCAGTTTAATGTTTTTTTTTATATTCATGGTCATAATTCAGTGATACGTTCAGATACAGAGATTGTGAATAAAAGTGCGTGCTCAGACGTCTCAAGTTTAATCACACGTTTTCCAATACGAAACGCAAAACAAAAAACAATCAATTGTGAAAAAGTGAACTGAAGTCAAATTGATTTACGGAATATTTTAACGATATAAATTAGAATGGTCGTGTCGCGCCTTTATAGTGCATTTTAATAATTGATCTGTATACAGACAGGATTATTGACAATTTCCAACTAACCGACCTCATGCCAATTCAATGAACAATCATAAAAGGCTGCACGAAAACATGTGACACGAATCGTAAACAATGTTCAGTCAACAATTTCGTTTATCAAATGTGCGGCCCATTTCCGTCATATATGAACAGCCGGGCTCGGTCATCTTCCACTTAACAATTTATTTCATACAATTTGTTCCGCACACTCGTTCAACAATATACATATGCTAAACGAGTGTGAGAACTTTTTGATTTCATCACGTGCATAACACTTAACTCAATTATTTATATTGGAATGGTTTACGCATAGCCATGAGCAACGTGCTCTTGTCGACGAGATAAATCTTTTCTAATCAGTGTGATTCATCATTTCGTTGTCTCACATAATCGCATAAGCGGAATGATAACAAACAGCAACACTAAACAATATAAATCGGAGCAACCAAATTCAATTGAAAAATTTATGGTACAAAAAATTATTGACATTTTGACAATGTGACAAAAAAAATCGTCGTTGATGGATAGAAATTAAAATGTCACTACCAGCTCAACTTTTTTTTTGCAAAAATCTGCGGGACTTTTTTTTATCATAATGTACAAAGACAAAAAAAGTGGCCAAACATCAAGTGGTTACAAACGCTCGACTACAATTACTATATTTATAAATATTAAAGTGCCAATTAAAAGATATTTTTTAAATGCTCAATTTCTTTTTTATCAATTACAAAAAAAATATTCATATGGTTTCAAATAATTATTCGCCTAATCGCCGTGATAATATTTCGTTGAAATTCCGAAACATTTGTGTTGATAAAAATATTTGAAATTTTTATTTCGACTCGCTAAATTTATTTTCGAAAAAAAGAAGAATTGTGCCATTTTGAAAAAATTCAATTATGAGGCCATTAAACTAGTTGAAAATGTGCATCGCAGAGTGTAAGTCGAAATTTATTTAAATTTAATTCGAAATTAATGCTGATTAATGCAAAGCGATCAAAATTACAATAATAACAATTCCAAGATCGAAGTTTATTGACTTGCATACAATATAACAGGTGCATATCACCGATGCAAATCACATCATGTGACAAAAAAGTTAGTCGTTACCCACAATCCAGTAAACAAACATGAACCTCTCTCTTTTTAAGCATTCACCTTCAATGCAAATATGAATTAAAAATGCAGCCAGGACCTTTAATAATAGCAATGCGCTTTTAAATTGAAATTTATATTGCCTTTGAACTCGAACAAAATTTGCATATTTATGGTAATGTAAGCTGTCATTGACATTGAATGATATAAATTCGCCCACAGCTGGCTTGCGATATATCATTTATTAGCCAAACAATCAAAACAAAATACAATCAACATGTGCGCAGTTACTTAATGAAACCTTTTTTTTTCTTCAAAAATTTCTTGAGTCGTTCAATTGTAGAGATTTTCGTTGGATTCATGTGATTGCACAATTTCTTCCGGCAACCCACACGCCTATAAAAAAATGTAATGTCATTTTGACATGCAAATATCCATTTTAATTGAATTAGAAATTGATGGATAAAGCGGAAATTGCATATACAGTTATACAGTTGGACTCCGATCATTTGAATTTAGTTTATTTCAAATATTCGCGTCATCTATTTTGAATAAGCGATATTGGTATATAAAATCAAAATTAAAGTGCTATTTAATTATTCATTAACAATCAATGAAGCTAAGCAGGTTTTTAATGTTCGCCGAATTTTTTTGGTTTGTATCTAAGTCGAGTTTGACGCATTTGGATTCTTTTTATATACGTTTATTTTAATTCTATTCTTTATCGAGAATCAATCTAAACGCTTGCAAAATAAATATGTGTAAATTTATGGAGTTCTTCGGTCAGTTTACCTTGGACAAAAGGGTAAAGATACTAGGAAATCGTGTGAGTTGCACACGTGCAGCAGTAAATTTCTCAAGAGATTCTTTTTTTTTTTAAATAGACGAATAAATGAATGAATGAATGTATTTCATCAGATTTCTCTGTTAAAAAAAACTGCTGGAGCAAAAATGCTCGATAATTTGAATTATATTCATTGAATATAGCAGAAAACTAAATGATACGAATTAACGAAGTTCGACTGTATGTTGATTGTTGAACCAAAATTAATTGCAGAATCACGAATGCAATTGTTTTAACGATTTGAAACAATAACATTACTGTTGCAAAGATTGGCGTCATTAATGTAAAACATTTGCGAATGAACGAAATGAGTAATCATTTGGACGAGTAGATTATATGCAGGGAAAGTCAACAAAGTTTGAAACCGAAAACGAAATGGAAACAAGTAATTATACAACATATGCTTAAAATGAACTTGAATACCGCTAAATGCATTATCATTCATTATGATTATTGCAATGTCTGTACAGTGTACGTACTGTATGTACTGCACACTTGAACTTGAACGGAATAATTTTTGTAATTATGGATTAGCACAGTTGAAACTTTCAACACCACAACCAAATATATTTTTGGTCACCAAAAAATGTTTGTATAACTCACCAAAATGGGTCAAAAATCTCCCAATTTAATATAATTTTAATGGCTTCAAATTGGTATGAGTTTATTTTTTTCGGTGATTGTTTTTGCCGGAAAAAAGTCGTTTCGCAATATGCGATTCGAGAAAAATGTATAAAAAATATATCACACAATCCGTTAATTTTGATGTAAATAACCAAGAATCAAAAGTCAGAGTTAATCAACAACAGAGATGAACAAAGAAGTATAAAAATAGAACGCTTAAAACTGAGATGAAAAAAATTCGATTTGCGTGACAGTAAACAATCTATGACATTTTTCAATGGATCGTAGAACACTTACAGTCTCTGCTTCTATTTTTGAAATAGCTTTTAGATAATTGAACTTTTCAAAAGTGTGAAAAAAAATCGCATAATAAAAAGTCTAATAACCCGAATAATTAACGTGTTCAAAACATGTTTAATATCAAACAAATACAGACAATCTCGATATTTGAATGGTTCAATGTCGTTCATTACATTTAAACATAGAAATACTCCAAATCGTGAATTTCGAGAGAAAGCTGTTTAGTAAATAAAACCGATAAGAAGTAAATGTGTTGCGCAAATAAGAACAACAAATCTCTGGTGTTTAACTAATAAAAATTCATGCAAAATAAACACAAACATTTACTCTGATTTGATTTTATTGCATTGATTTGTGTAACTGATTAGAAAATGTCAAATGATGCACGCATTAAAGCAATTGTTTGTTAATTATTCTGGAAATATTACAATTTCAAATGTTAAACACAATTAATTTTAGTTTACAAGCATTTCAATTGGCATTTGTGTTCTGTGAGGAAAAAATTCTTTCCATTGTTTCCACACTCATTATCATATAAAAAACTTGAGCATTTTTTCTCTGTGGCATTATAATACCAACGGTACACGAAATTCGATTCGCCAACAGAACAAATATCATCGGAGGGTGCACCAGAACACTCGTCAATATCTGAAAAATAAATATTTTTCACACTAAAATCGATTTTTATAATATATCTACCTACTTCTACTGGAACAAAATTCTAGTCGCAAGATTACGAGAATAATCAGAGAAACAATTCTGAGATGAACCATTGTTCAACAGCATTAAAATCAAACTACCGGACTACTAAATTGCTATCTTGATTCAAGTTATAATATTGACATATCAAAACGTGTGTTGTGAGGCATAGGTCAGTGATAACAAATTAGAGCTGATTATCACACATAATAAACAGATTACTGTATACAAATTATTTCATTTCATTAAATTGGTTCACAATTGGACGTTGAAAAAAGAGCGTGTCTTTCCATTCAATCGCATGAATAACGTGTTTCCTTCGTGTCTCATTTCAGTTTCAAGAGTTTCATCAACCGACGGAAGCCCTCACAAAACTCTCGTATTAATCGTATGTTTATCGGGCCTTTTATGCGCAACAATTATTGTTAGTTTAGTGGTATTCCTATTGCGAAAATCAACCAGAAACGAATTTATTATGATGCAGCACATAATATCAAACGCAGAGCCCAAATCACAGAGAGAACAAATGGATGTTGAATCACAAGAGCCACAGCCTAGTACAAGTTGGGCAGCTGAAGCAATCACATGTGAAGAACCTCAACCGAGCACGAGTCGACCCAAAACGAAGATTTTCGCGATATTCGGTTCATCAAAGCAATCTTTTGATTTGAATTAAGATTAAGTGGAAATTTGGGATAAAAAATGATTTTTTTCGATTCAAACGTCGATCTTAAGCCAAAGACTTATGATATTCAGTATTTTTTTTAGATATAAAAAATAATATTACCTCAGTTTAAGTCAATTAAAAAAATGTCTCTAAATTAGGGATACGATTTATGAGTGAAAAAATGTTGATTTATTTAATGATTAGAAGGGTTTAATTTTTTTTAAGTAAATAATAGTTACCAATAGAAAATTGGAAAATCAATATGAATAAAATTGCGGTTTTATTTATTTTCCCGAAAATAGCTTGCAAATAAGTTGACTGCAATTACTCTGTGGCCGAAACACAAGACGGTAAGTTCGGATTCCTTATACAGAATGTTCCACCGTTAGAGACAGATCTGCGCTGTTTACACTTATACATTTCATTCAATTTGAGTACATCAACTTGACTCATTCCCTTTCGTTGACCCATTACTTTTGAAAATCGTTCATCCTTGTTTGAAGGCATTGAAAAATAGAAATCAACCGATCAATATTACGGTAACGAAAATCATTGCACTTACTAGAGCTTCAATGGTTGGCTTGTCATTCGATGTGAATGCATATCTACTGTAATGCATAACACTGGCGTAATCATAATTTTGGCCAAAATGTGTTACCATTTGTGAGCTATATTTCCGAAAATTATGCTCTTTTCCAGCTTTAACATTATCGTAGACAATTTTTATGTAATTATCTCGATCGTGTGCACTCTGCATGTGATAAAATCCGAGAGCTACAAGAATATTAGAATATTTTACCATTTTTGTGTTCAAATAGAAAATTGAAAAGCGATTACCATGTAATATTTCATGAATTACGGTTCCAAATTGACGAAAACAGTTTGGCGATAAATTCAAAATTTGCGCTTTGCCTTGGTAACCCACGTGTGCAGAACAACCTGAACTAAGTGCCTACAAATTGATTGAAAAATCCTTTTTTTGAGTGTCTGCACTATTTCCACTTGACTTTGGCATGTCAATGTTATGCCAACGTCTAAGGTTGGTACTTGAGAGGTGCTACTTACATTGAATTCGATATATCCATCTTCGTCGGAGCGTTCTTTGAATTGAATGCATGATACTGATTCGATTAATATCATCGCTCTTTCAATTTCAGATTGCTCTAGTAATGAGTGATTTTCATCCATTTCATAGTAAACGATATTTTTTGGCCATCGCTTATTACTATTAATCAATCCATTTCGTGGCGATAAGATTAAAGCACGTGCCTCTTCTGATGTTAGTATGATATCACCTTCAAAACTCTCTCCATATTCACTGTCTACTTGAAACGAGAAACCTTGACTTTAAGATTGATATTTTGATTAAATTGACAGGCGCATGTATCAAACACATATTTTGATATCGAATTTTAAGTAAAATAAATGAATGAAAAAATCTCACTTTTGTCTAATCGCTTCGCATCTATGACTAAATCAAGCGTCAATAGAATAAAAAAATATATTAAAAAAACCACACTCATGTTAAATGAAGGATTGTTAAATAGCGTTCACAATGGATTCAAAACTTACCTTTTTAAAGGCTGAAATGAACTTATATATAGTGTACTTTATCGCCAAGAACTTATAATAAATGCACCTTTGAAAATAATATACAATATAAATGCATCGAGTAATGTTGTTTATTGTTGAAACGAAAAAAAAAAAATTATCTTTCTGCACCTTTTTTCCAAAGAACCACGTTACTTACAATAAAGTAGAGTTGTGAATGTAGTATATGTGCGATTAAAACTGGATTTGACCACCTGGTTTTTTGATATTTTCATAAAAAAGCGATTTTCAACATCATATAAAAGCGGCAAAATGCAGACGAATTAATTAATTTGTGGCGTTACTAATGTTTCTAACCTGATAAAAAGTTCAGAAATTGTGTCACGCACGAGTGAATTTAATATGTTTGAAAATGTTGAAAGATTAAAGAATTGACTTGTTCTCGTAGCCTACACAGATTTGTGCTATGGGAATAAATTAAGTTTTTTTTAATTTAATTCATGGCGTCCAAAGATTGCAGTCACTGAAAAGTTTTTGTCAACTTTCAAAATGATCAAATTTTTGATGAAAAAATTCATAAAATAGCAACAATTTATACTCGCACGTTACATATTTATTATTATTTGGATATCGAATGCATTTCGAGTGTACATCAAGTAATTTTTATACTTTTTAATCAGACAATGTATTGAGATATTGTCAGCGAGATATTCCAGTATTTAATATCATATTATGATTACCAATGGAATGACAACAATAGTAGTAGTATTCGAAAAGTTTTTGTCTTGTATACATCTAAAAGACATGAATAACTTGTATCATTATTCATTATGGCGCGTTCGCAGGACCACCAGGCGGTTGTAAATTAGCTATCCAACCCTGGAGAGCTTGCTGAATACCTTGCAGATTAGCTTGGATGCCTTGAAAATTATTCTGGAACCTCGGATTCGCTTGCAGACGTCTCAACCTAAAATGAGGCAATGAGCCACGAATAGACGGATTCGGAACAGGATTTAATGTATTCTGATTAACTGCATGATCACTAGTTGAAGGCTGATCATTTCTATTTGGGGGCGGATTAACCGGCATTGGAAGCTGACTACTTTGATCACTACCACTTTGAAGTTGGCTACTATTGCATGTGGGATGTTCGATCAATAATAAATCAGCGACCATGCCGGTGGAGGTGTTGTCATAATTCAAGTTTCTATCGGGATAAAATTGAATGTTAATGTCCGGTTCAATGCAAAGTGCCGTCTTAAGTGTTGAAAATGTATAAGTTGACGGTGGTATCTGTTGTTGTTCGAATCGAATCTCATACTTAAGCCACGGCCTTATGATGATCGGCGAAGTCAAATCAACTCGATTCTTACCATGACTACTCAGCTTAGTTTCACCGCTGAACAGTATTGTGTCATTCACATTTTGAGATTCATCATCAACATTTTTCTCTATAATTGTTATGTTTGAAGTGGGAAAATGTTCATCAATTTTGAAATATTGCCATTTTTCCTTATCAAATGTATAAACATTTGCATATAAAAATCCTTTCAACAATAAAAACTTGTTCGATGAAAATGTGGTGGTCTCGATATTCTTAACGAGAAAACTATCCGATATAATTCGGTTGACTTTATTCCCACTACTTTCGCCAATATTCCAGAACTTTTTTCGCGTAAAGAACTTCGGCTGATATGCATCCGATGCGGCAATTCCAATAATATCTTTGAGTTCTTCGTTCGTACACAGGTCAGTGTATTGCGTAAAGATTTCGGAAAATTCCGTGTGTGAGAGTGCACCAAATGGCAACTGAAAAAATAACTCACCCAGTTGATCACGAACTTGTTTAAGATAATTTTCACTTAATTCATTTAGTTGTGCTGATTTCGTTGCCCATCTTATGCATGCCTCCAGTATCTCCGTAATTGAACAATTGTACGTGCCCATGTTTAAAATATATTCCAGCGTTGTTTTGTTGCTTGTCAAAAAATCATTCGTCTTAAACACCGCCGATGTTTCGAATTTAATGAATTCGTCACACATTTTCACCAAACTATCCTGATTATAGAAGGCTCCAAGTTTATAGCTGATGAATACGGTATTTACAGATAAATTTTTACCCAAAAATGTCGAACATGCATGCATGCAATCCATGACCTTATATTTGTCGCAAAGATGCATGATCTTTTCAATATGTTCGAATGTCAATGATACATCGGCAAGATAGAAAAATTGAAGAAATTTTTCGAACGCTTCGACTGGCGCATCCACTATAGTAACTTCAGCGCATTCTTTTGGTGAACCGTAAAATATTGTATGAAATACCGGGCTCATGGCAGCCAAAATAGTCTTGTGCGCTGGAAGTTTAGTCGGTTGTTCAATGTCCGCACCAAATACAAAATGAACATCAGCTGAATTTGGATTCAAATATAATTGTTCGAGAGCCTTTGCCGCAGCATTGCTGCTGACTTTCTTTGTGATAGCTACATTGACCGCTGGTAAATCATTCTCATTTCCGGCATCTACCCTTGGTTTTTTTGTCACTTCTTGTGAGCCGCTCTCTTCGTTACTCATTTTATCGAGAAATCACAAAGAATTTCAATCATCTGCAAAAAAAAAAAAATAAAAACAAATAACAATCAAAATAAAATAAAAGAATATTGAAAATAAAAATGTACATATTACACAAAATGTGTGGCAAATCTGCGAAATCTATTGGTGAACATATAGTTTGGCGCATTACAAGTGAATTCTACAAAAGATATATTATGAAATGTCAAACACAAGTCTGTAATGTTTTGCTTAGCTGGGTGGTTGTTCAGGTTCACCAAAAGATTTCGCAGATTTATCACAAAATTTTCATCAATAGTTGTCGTAGATCTACCACAAATATTTTTTGTGTGTGAACGTCGAGAAGAAAAATTCAAAGAACTGTATATATCACACTCTAACATGATCACACATACATTCCCGTGTATATGACGGCCCTTTTACTACTTTAAGTAATGAAAACAGACATCGTGTTTACATTCTCACAAACATACACTTATTCACGAAGGAAAACTGAAAGAAACACACAGTCCAAATTTACTAATAAAGAAAATAACCACTACAGTCTTTGTTTTCATGTTTTCAAATGTTTTATAATTATATTTAATTTTGGAAATAGTATTTAGAGCAGAGTAACGACCTAGAAACTGGTCGGAAGTATTAAACACTTATTTTACCTGTTTGCGCGTCTAAACTCACTGCTATCAACTATCAACAAACAATTTGACAGAACCTACGATCTATTTTGTTAATGTATATGTTTAGCATTGCATTTTTAGGGAAGTTTCAAATCAATCGCTTTTATTTGGGGTCTGTTCACACTGTGAACTTCAAAGGTCATACATTTTTTTATATTGCTCACGATAGAAAAAATGTTTTTTTTTTTTGCTTAGCTCACGATAGAAAAGAGGAAATTATTGCATGAATAATTTTACTGCTCCGGCATGTACTTTCTTTGCATTTATCGGAAAATTAATTAAAAACTAGCAAAACATTCGTTCTTCTATTGCTTTATTTTTTTTTTTTAGCCGTGCGAACTAGACAATAGTAATTTTTTATACATTTTAATAAATCAACTGATAAGGAAATGAGGTACGACTGATTCATCTGCTGAATTTATTCCTGCTTCGGGCTCGGGTTCTGGCGCATCACATTCATACATTGTATTTAATTTGAAAATGTCCTTTTCGCTTAATTTCTCGCGTTGTCCAATCTTGCCCAAAAATGACTCATCCTTTAAGAAAAAAAATTACAAAATATCAAAATGTTATGTGTATAAGATGTATTTAATATACCACAGGTACAATCGTTGCATTGCCGTTTTTGCTAAATCCATATGCACTATAATGCATCACACTACCATAATCATAGGTTGTGTTGAAATTTGTTACTTCGGTATTATTGAATTTGGCAAAATTATGCTCATAACCCGATCGAATATTTCCCCAATGAATCGTGACGTATTCGTCTCGATCATGAGCGCTTTGCATGTGATAGAAGCCAAGTGCTACAAATGTATGACATAATTAATTCAACGATTCAAATGCATCGAAAATGTCCAATTCAGATAAATGTTTACCATGTAAAAATTCATGCATTATTGTACCCAAACGGAAGCAACCTGTGCCCGGTTTATACTTTTGTAAATTCAAGCGTTGTGTTTTGTTTTGATATCCAACTGATGAGTAACATCCTTCATCGTAGGCCTATAAGAAATATTTCACTTTATTATAAAATATTTATTGAAATAAGTTCAATATCTTACAGTTAAATTAACGAATTTTTCCTCATTTGTTCGTCTGACGAACTTCAGACACGAAACCGATTCAAGCTTTTTTAATGCTATTTCGATGAAATCTTGTTGTTCTTTTGTATGGTTTGCATTTAATTGGTAAGCAACAGTTTTATTTGGCCAACGATATTTCTCTAGAATTAATCCATTTCGTGCTGGTGAAAAAATAGCTTCAATTTGTTCTTGAGTCAAAACCATATCTCCTTCAAATTTATCGCCATATTCGTCAACTGCCGAAGAAAGAGTTTTTATTGAACATTTATATTGTTCGGTAACAATTTTAATTTACGACGCACCTTTGTTCGAGAGTCCTCTTTCAGAAATGGTGTCCAAAGGTAATGAACAAGTTAATGTGAATAATGACGCGAGCACAAATGAAAGCAACAATTTTATCATTTTGATTAAGTGACCGAAGAGAACATTGGATTGAAAATGAACGTAATAACCATTTTATTCACACTTACAAGTCTTTTATACTAACTCCATAATGAATTAAATGAATGATAATTCAATTCTTCGATATTCCCAATGATAACATTAAACGGGGTTAAATGGAATTTTAAATCAAAATCACAAATCAAATAAATTGATTTGGTTTGAAATTTTTCAAATAAAAACAGTCAAATAAATTGATTTAAAGTTATTTGAAGATTTTAATTTTAGAAAATTCAAATAAAATCAATTTGTTTGATTTTAACATTGATTTGAATTCTCAAATCGCAATTATTATATTAAAAATACATTGTAAATTGTTTTTTTTTTTAATTAAACCAATTTACCTTTAAATTACGATAACGGCTACAAATTGGAAAATGAACATGTGGCCAATACAGTTAAGTCACGTACAAACTGTGCCGTTTCACTTAACTCAATTCGACTTATATTCGATTTCCCATCAAAACAATTTAAAGCATACAAAAGCCGATTTTGCTCTAGCAAAATGAACCAAGTGACATTTCTATTGGGAAGAATTCGAAAAAATCAAAACGGTAAATGGAGGGATTACTGTAAATCACAGTGCGAATCTAATCGATTGACACATTAATAGGTCAATTTGTGAACCAAATGTGTTAGTACACAAGAGATATCTTATCACATGATAAAATAGAAAAATTCGAGTGCATATTGCTTCTTATTTGTATACAAAGTTGTAACAGAGGATTAAATTATTAGAGCAGTATATTTGCTGGATGAATATCGCTGGATATTTTCAGACGCTGATTCTCAGCCGCTGAGCGCGTTAAATACAACGAAACGACGTAACAGCTACAAATATATGAAGAAAGTCTGCACAAAATAGAATGCAAAAATGAACCTTTGCAGTAATGTTGCGTTGTATTTAACGCACTTGGCGCTGAGAATCAGCGTCTGAAAATATCAGCCGATGTTCATCCCGCAAATATACTGCTCTGTAAATTATCGTTGTTTCGTAGCAACTACGTCTTAAAAATCGATCACATCATAAATTGGGGCATATAATCTGAATACAATTAAAAGTCATTCAAATATCTTCAATAGCACAAAACTAAGTGTGTTGAAAACGGAAATTGGTATCTCAAAAAAGTGGCCTCAACTGCATTTTGGTTGGTGTTGTTGACATTGATTAGTTAAAATAGCTCATCGTCACTAATTGACCAATTTAATTTTTGTATGTTAAAATTGGTAGTTTCCTGATTTGGATCGTGTGCATCATCGATGTCATGTGCTGTATCAATAAAATTGAGCAACGAAACAATGAACGTTATCGGAAAACAAAACTCGATTAGATGATTAGATGAATAGATGATATCGTATTTTTTTAACGACTAAGCGCTCAGTATTTTAATATAAATATAAAGTTAGACTTAAGGTCTACAGTATCTCACCTCATGCGCAAGCAACATATCTCAAACTGAAAATATTACAAACATGACGCACAATTCAATATAAGATTCATCATTTTGATTCATTTTTGTTTCATTTTAATTCTATGATTCAGCCTTAAATTTAACATTTAATTGAAAAATGGAAATAAAATCTAAAAAAACGATACTCTAAATGATTTAAAATAAATATATATGTACAACAATAAAGGAAATCATTTGTAACACTTTGCCATCGCTAATGACAATATGCTTTATTGATCATTGCTATATCCATTTCACTCAACTTTTCGCGTTCTCCAATTAAGTTCACAATCGATTTGTTCTAATTTTAAGAAAAATTTAGACGAAATAAAAAAAAGAAAAAGAGACATTTATACAAAATGATAATATTACTCACCAATGGTTTTACAGTATGACTGCCATTTTTCAAATCTTGAGTATTGTGCGTATGCGTATTTTTGATCCCAAGGGCTGAAAAATTTAAAAACACTTTCTTTACAAAACACCCTCGTTTTTTTCTGATAAAGATAAGGTCACTTACCATGTAAAAACTGGTGAATTATTGCTCCAAAAATGAAACATTTTCCAGATTTCGACTGTTGTAAGTTTAACACTTGTGCGCCTCCTAGATAGCCAACCGCTGAAAAACAACCGATCTCTTTCGCCTACAATCAATAACATATAAATAATTCACGTTACAATGACACAATCGGTGGCACTTACACTTAGTTGAATGTAGTCACTTTCATTAATACGTGATTTGAATTTCAAACATGAAACTGTTTCAATTGCAGTCAACGCTTTTTTAATTTGTTCTTGCTGTTCTTGTGTGTGTTCAGTGGTCATTTGATATGGAATTGAACGAGTGGGCCAATAAAAGTTATCTTCATCTAATTGATTTTTCTGCTGTTTTGAAATGTTCAATTGTTGTGGATTATGCATTAAACCAACTTCGAAATGATTCCCGTATTTAATGGCTGATGAAAAGATGCAAAAAAGATTTAAATTTTTTCTAATTGTTTGTCTAATGTCACTTACATCCAGCCGATGATTCATCCACATTGGACATGGAATATGCCATCAAAAATAATAAATATGTGAACACCATAATTATAATGATTATGGCTGTAACTCGAAAAAATACACCACACGCCATATTCAACTGCTGAGAATGAGCGTTATATTGGAAATAAACATGAATAATATGATGGAGTTATTGCTACCGCCTTCACACTAAACATTTTTTTCCAAAATACTGCTGACTAAGTGATTCATTTCTCACAACAAGTCTGTGTAAATATTATGAATTCTCTGATATGCAACGATGCATTGCGATTATGATTCCAAATGAATCACACAGATATCAGACAAATGTATATACCAAATATAGACATATCTGACCTTATTGCGATAAAATAAATAAAATAGCCCTTTCGGTTTTCAAACAACTTCATCACTATTATCACATTTTAATCATTTAAAAAGGCATTTGCGAGACGTTGAAGCAAGATCGAGGTTTAAAGATAAGTAAAAATCGAAAATGATTAGTCAAATACATAAAGTCGAAATTGCAGACTCAACTATCGATATAACATAGTCGAGCGAATAAGATATTTTGAATAAATAAAGTCAACACCGCTGTTCGGCGAATGATAACAATTGTATTTTCTCCGAAATGGCACATTGCACCATTGTATTTTTGTTTTTTATTTCATAACTCTCAACAGTTTTGACGAGATAATGATGCATTATTCTAAAGATTAACAATTGGATTTTGTACACAAAAATTTCACTGTTCCAACATAAGTTAAATAAAATATACACAGCGTAATTTCTCGATAACACTTTTAAGTAAGTAAGTGTGTTAATTGCAATGAATTTTGTATCTTATCTGTCGATATCTTATCGTTTATGTATTTATGTATCATATCATAAAAACAAGCAGCGTAAAGTGTTACTTTCGTACGATAAATCCACACCGTTATTTTCAGTTTGAGATTATTTCACTGAAAATTCCAACGTTTGATTCATCACACAACACTTTTACCGTGCGCATTTCTGATAGTGAAAGGTGTATTTTATTCAGGCTACCAAATGAAATTTTATATAAAAATACAAAAAAGTATATAAAAAGTTGAGTTTTATATTTTGGAGTAATATGAAGGGAATAAACCTTCAATCAAATTGCCGTCTACTAAATTGAATAAAAAAGCAAATGGGCGTTCACAGTTCACTAGCGAATTTATTGGCCATTTTAGTTGTGAGCACTGTTGGATTACAAAAACCGATTGGAATTCAAACATGTTCGGATGATATTCGTCAAGTTTGTGATTGTTTTTACTATCCCATTCTCTCAGTTCGATGTTCACATAAAAATTTGAGCGAATATCCCAAATTAAGTGCGATTCAGGTGATTTCTCTTTTCCATTTAAAGAATAGAAAATAAAGAACTTAAAGTGATTTTGGATATTAGAAATTCACATCAATTTGCGTTTCAATTAAATCTCATTCATAATGAAAAAGGTGAAAAGTATCTCAAGTGAATAAAAGCGATTCGATTTATTGTCAATGACATAAGAGCTGCCAATATAAACGGTGTATTCAACGCAAAACGTTAATATTTAATTTGCAGTATTTGATTTCAAATCTTTTTTTCCCTGATAAGACGAACATTAACAAAAACGACCTTGTAAATGTTTTGTCGGAGAATTGTGATCTATAATTTTAAAATCACTTTTGTAAACGAATTTCTGTGCAACTTTTCTTCCATACAGAATGTCATCGAGAGATTGGACATGTCATACAATGAGCTGACAATATTTCCACCGAAGTTGATCAATTATTTTGCATTAGAAGTCCTCGATTTATCATACAATCGCATCATTTTCATATCGCAAAATGTGATGCTTCCGAATAATTTGCGTCATTTGAAACTATCGTACAATAATATTAGTGAATGGTTCAACTTTATGCCGAAATCATTTATAAAATTCGCTTCGAATTTGGAAACACTGGATTTGGCTGGAAATCCATTGGGTTCCTTCAAAGACGATCAACTATGGTTAATTAGCAGCAGTCTGAAAAGAATCGATCTGAGCAATTGTCAAATTCATCAAATTGCCGGCTCATCAATGTTAAGCGGTTTAATTAATTTGGAATATTTGAAATTGAGTTCAAATCCATTACATAGTCTAATTGATTTGAAAGCGAAAAAGTTGATGAGTCTGGATGTGAGTGAATGTACATTGGCAATGTTACAACCAACAGTTTTTTCACATATGCCGGCTTTAACTTATGTGAATTTCAGTGGTAACCATCATTTGTCACTCGAAACGAAGGGTACGTCGAATGAAAATGAGTACGTTGAATCGGTGTCATTGCGACAAATCGATTTGTCAAACTGCAACATGAACAACGTTGAATTAAGGGGCTTTCCAAACATCACATGGGTTAATTTAAATGGAAATTTAATAACCGAACTCCTCGATGACACATTTGGCAATAACATTTTGATCGAACATTTGGGATTATCATCAAATGCAATAAGCCGCATTCCTGTGCACGCTTTTCAACGCCTAAAGCAACTACGAAGCATTGATTTATCACTAAATTCGATTCGGCAAATTGAAGCCGATACTTTTGCCGAAAATAATCTACTCACATCGATTAACCTGAGCCGAAACTATATCGATCGATTCCGACGGTTTACGTGCGATGGTCTAACGTTCTTGAATATGAGCCGATGCCAAATTGTGGAAATTGATAGAGACGCCCTTGAAAATCTTCACGAGCTAATTGAATTGGACTTGTCATATAATATGTTCAGCGAATTACCGAACCAATTTGTAGCTCCTTTTCTACAAATATTGGATCTTAAACGATGCAGGTAAAGTTATTATGTGACCAAACACTTTCTGATGATCATGCGCTAATCAAAGAGTTTTTCTCCATCATCAGGTTATCGCATATAGACAATCAAACATTTTCAAATTTTCCGGAGTTATCGCGCTTAAATTTGGCCGGAAATCGCCTCACAATCACATTACGCGAGGAATATTTCGCAAACAATCTGTATTTGAATGAAATTTGGTTGGGCGATAACCCCTGGCGTTGCGACTGTGATTTGAGAAGTCATTCATTTTATGAATACATTCATGATCAACCATCAAGGGTAACAAATCCAATATTTTTTGACTTTTTGTGGAAAAAATCGACGATTCCTTTTCATCATTTCAGATAAAAGATCCATCGCAATTCCGATGTTATTCACCGAAAAACGCACTGGGTGAAATGTGGGAGGTGGCATGCTCAGCTTATTGGAATGAAAGACCTAGAAAAATGACTTCATTTGAAAGAGTTTGGACAATATTTATAGCCATTTTACTCGCTATTACGATCGTTTATTCGGTTATATGCGGTATTAAATGGTGGATACAATACCGAAGGGAGGCGCGTGACGAGCAACAGCGACAGGAAAATCTTGAAACAACAAGAGAATTGTATGTGTTCAGATCGAAATATATTCATCATATACAAAATGATCACTTTTTACACTCCAAATTAGAATGCGTCATAATCAAATAGTGCTTGAGCAAGAAGGTCAACTAAATGCCCCCGATCCCCGTGAGACACACCCACCCTCTTATGCTGATGCAATTCGAATGCCACGGCTTCAAGCATCTTTTATTTCACTGAAGCAAACTTTTGCCAGCAGTGACTCAATGAACTCTATTCGTCGAGCCACAAAACGATGCAGAAGTGAAGAGTTCATTGGTGACGATGCATCGAACAAAAATCGTCGAATTATTTTGGCGGCCCGTTCGAGAAAAAATCAAATTCAAAATTGGATCAAACGTTCTGGCGGTGATTCAAATGCAAGCATAAGTGGATTTGTGAAGAATAATTGCGTTGAAACGGGTGGTCAAAGCCAAAACAGCTTTGAAATAATCACTCAACTTGAGACCGAAGACGGAAACAGTCCATATTCTAAAAGAAAACCACAACCAGAGTCTACCGCACAAATTCAATCGAGCTTAGAATCATTGAATGAACCAATCTATGCAAATGGATATATTGCGGCCGAACATAGCTATTATCGCAGTGAAAACAGCTTAACCGAGAGCGAAATACCTCAAACATCAAAATCACATTATATTTCAAATGAAACACTGTATTCAACATCGTCTACTTCATCATTTAGTTCGGATGAACATTATTCAAATTATTATCATCAAAACAGTTACTCATCCAAACAATCAGACGTTTAGATTTAATTCACAAATGTCAATTGCACATTAATTTTAAGACATTTTCCCTTATCGAACAAACTTCTATATACTTCTGTATTATTCGATGGTACTCGAGTGCATTATTTACTGAAAATTTTAAACCATTATACATACATATACTCGTATGTTACTAACGGAATTGTTCACTTAAATATCATTTTAACCATTATTATTGAATTCATTCCATTCTCCGAAATGTTCCCATTAATTCATAGAACAAAAACCCCATTTTTAGTCGATTGAATTACATCATAGAATAAAATTGACTCCCCTTTGGAATTTGGTTTTTCGGTTTGATCGACTTATATAGTATTTATAATGTTGTTGGTATTGGAACCAAATTTCTTGTGAAATATTTGCATTAGCATTTTATTCACACACTACCTTCGCGTATTTTTTTCGTTGGCGGTAATCTTGGATGTCCAATACTTTCAATCACGCTACTTGCATTTTGCGTTTTTAATCAACACAATCCACCAACCGCAAGTGAAAACTAAGCAAGAAATAATTCATGGAACATTTGGACTGTTTGGAGATGAATTTGCATTTGAGCACCTTATTGGCAGAGCTGGGAACGAACAGTCGGTCGTTCGTTCGTTGAAATCATTAATGATCGGTCGGTCGTTCGTAAAAATTGAAATGTTCGTTGTGTTCGTTCGTATGTGCGATCTAACACCGAACACCTCAAGACTTCCGGATGTTCGGCGCAAAAATTGTCAAGTCGAGTTTGCAATTCTCTGTTAAATTTTTTGAAATTTACCAAAAATAATAATAATTAAATAAATGAATTTTCAAATATTTTCTAATTAACATAAGTATTTGTTCTTAATTTGAACACTAACAAAATATTAAATTTCCTTATAAACGAATTTTAGGAAATTCCGTATATTTGGTATAGTCTATACCTGAATAGCCTCATATTTTCAATGATGAAATAATAGATGAATTTCATAACATTTCGTAATAAAAAAAATTAATATTTTGAACACTTGAAAAAGAAAATTCAAAGATCACAGTCGGACATTGATGTTCGTGCCCAGCTCTGCTTATTGGTCAACACATTGTAAGCTCATAGCACTTATTTGCAATCTTTTCAAAGTTGGGATGAAATGTCATTTTTGCATATTTGTAGGAATATCCGGATGCGCCACTTGAAAAGTTCAGAATATGCGACAACTTGGATCAGTGCTTGTCAAGGCTCAAGAGTAATCCAAGATTGGCAGTAGCAATATCACGTGAGCATGTCCATCATACTCGTTTGGACTTATCGTCACATATTTAGTGTTTTGAAAAGTCACAGATCAAATATCATCGAAACGAGTAAGGTGCAATTAAGCACATTTTTGGTAAAATTATTTAAACCTAGTCCCAAGTTTCGACTTTCTCATGTGCGGACATTCGACTATACATCCCATTTATGAATATGCCACAAAGTTCTTAATTTATAAAGACTTTCGTTTTACAAAAGAACCGGACGAATTTATACGAATGGCAAGTGCTGGTGGACTCATTGAGTGTCCTATAAGCATAATGAAAAAAATCTTTAAACAATTTAGCATAACTCATTTTTATGTAGTTCTTCTTTTCGCCTATTTTACACCAAATATGATCAGTAAATAGATTGAGTTACAGCTATATCAGTGCTATTTTTACAGCTCCTATTCATAAACGCTATTTGCGACAAAAATGTTTGACTACACTCCTATAGTTGTAGCTTTTTGATGTAGAAAATTTTATCACTTTAACAACAGTATATTCTAGCATTGAATGCGTATGGCTAAGTCTTGCTTTTTTGTAGGATATAAAAATATCTCTTAATTTGTGCTAAATATATTTTCATGTCCTACAAAATAGCCCGAACTAAAATCTTCGCCACTGTAGATTGTATTCCAGTGACTGACCCTACAGATATAGCAACGATATTTTTGTAGTTTCTATTTACAAACGCTATCTGTACATAACGTATAGCGACTGCAATTTTATGATACAATGCCGAATGAAATGTTCGAAAAGCAGACAAATAGAAAAATAATAAAATAAATAGGATATCCGTGTAAATTGTGGATTGTGCCCAAATGACCCCTGTATCTGTAGGGTCAGTCTATAGTATATTCAAACGTTTGGCTTGCAATGAACAAAATTGCACAATAATGGTTGTATAAAATAACTTTTATGATTAATTAAATGTTTTTATTTAATAATAGCTATATATTAATGTAGTAAATTTTTATTGGGCACAAGAACACTATAACAATTGATGTGAATTTAAAACAAAATATAAATTAAAAAAATCATAAAACTTTATTGTAGTTTTGCATGTTTGATAAGATCTTAAAAATATCGATTGTTTGTGGAATAAATATAACCGGAGAACGAGCTAGCATATTTATATGTAATAGTAACCGTTCCTACTGAGCTTTCTTTAGGTCTTGTTTAAATTGTTTTTACAAATTTATTGAAGTCCAATGCCAATGAGAGGATATGAAGACTTCAAGTCTCTTTGAGCCGACGGTGGCGCACCGAATTTCAAAAGGGACGTCAATGTAATTTTACAACTCAAATCGAAACTAAACAGCGCGCCAATTTTAAAATTTGCTGTCATTTCCTCCCATTGTCCAATGCTAACGCCAATATGATATTTGATCTAACTGTAATGTCAGATGTAATGTGTTGCATACACAGTTGCATACAGAGCAATAAAAAGTGCATTGTCAACTGATGAATTATGTAAGTACTGAATATAGTCGATTGGCAGTAGTGGAATAATCTAGTTGCTTGAATAGACGCGTTAAGCAAAATGTTACTGTGGCCTCTTCTTTTGCTCTTCATTCCGGCTCAAGCGATCTCTTCTTCCGAGAAGGCCATAGCACCAGTGAACAGAAATGGCGGAAAGATTACAATTGCACTATCAGAACGGAAACCATTTGTTATGTTTGACCACAATGGAGCACCACTCGGACTGGATGTGAAAATCATGGAAAATTTCGCAAAAAAATTCAGTCTTCAGATTGGGTATCTCGTTACGAATACACCCCTGAACCATATTTTTGCAAATGAGGAAAACATCACCACATTTTCCACAAAAACGAACTTGAAGTAAGATTTAATTTTCGAATATGTAACAAACAGTGATTCGTTAATTGCTATTGACACTAAGACTTACTTAGAGTAATGTGCTAGCCAGCATTTGTTGGCTAGCAGTGCTAGTGCGATACGCTCGACGCATGGAAGACGCGTGTCTATGTGAATGAAGCATTCTATATGAAGCGCTATGTACGCTCGTATTTCGATTTATTTTATCCGCTGTACTTCTGTTATGTTCATGATTTTTTTTAAATTGAAAGTAAAGTCATTTAAAAAAAGAAATTCATCACTTTTGCGATTTGCATAATATTTTCAGGAATATAGATGTATTTATGGGCGGTTTGAATGAAAATATCGTAACAAAGCAACATTTCATCGCCTCGCGTGCCTATTTCCACGATGGATTACAATGGTGTGTACAGAAGAAACAACCAATTCCAGCATGGAAGAGTTTGTTTTACGTGTGTCAGGGTCCCATGGTCCTTGTCCTTTGCTGTGCGGCAAATATGACATTCACAATCACAGTTTATGTAATGCAACACTTTGAAAATGGTCAAAAATGGAGCTCCATAGAAATTAGCTTCAAAATGTTTTCTGCTGCAGTGTTTCTTCCAATTAATTGGAAGCCGAAATCCTTTGCCCATCGTTTGCTTTTCTTTTTTGGATTTTTTGGATGTTTGATAAATACAATCACAATCATTTCGTATGGAATGTATATTTTGGCAAATCCGAATTTCGAAAATCAAATCAAAACTACAAACGATATTATTGATAGAGCACTTGAATTAGCTGGTGACACTTTTGCCATGGAGCATCTCGTTAGACAAAACGAGGTTAGTTCAAATAACTACCAACGCTTTCCTCAAATATCATATTGTATAATTCTTAGATATATCCGGCGGAAATACTTTAGAAATACAAAGTATGTAATAATTTGGACAAATGCTTGGATCAGCTTGAGAAAAACTCAAAACTGGCAGTGGCAATATCACGCGAACATGCACGATATAGTCTTGGTCACAGGCGCTCTGCACCACAAATTTATTGTTTCGAAAGTTTTGAGATGATTTATGGTTATGCCACGAAGTTTTTGGTCACCAAAGATTTTCCACTCTTGAGAGAATTGAATGGATTTATACAAATGGCAAGTGCATCTGGACTGATTCAGAGGTGGCGATCTGATAAACAGATCCGAGTTTCTTATGAAAAAGTTGAACCTATAATACGGAAGCAACAGTATTATGGACTACTCGTGCTATGCTGCACGTCATTTCTGATGTCCATCGCTCTATGTGTATGTGAAAAAGTAGTTTATAAAAAAGCAATGGAACCAAATCCAAATTGGTTTTGGATACTTCTGGAAATAATTTTTGATCCAAATAGACTTTATTTGCTTGGAAGTAACACTTTATAGATTTTAAATGGAATATGTTTATTATTTAAAACTCATTTGACATTTGATGCCAAAATATTGTGCAACATAGAGGACGAATTACTAATTATTTAATAATACATATGTTTCTTATATACATAAAGTATATTATTAACTATTATTGCAAACCATTATCAGCACATATTGAAATATATTAAACTAAATGAAGAAAACCATTGAAGAAATTTACATAAAGCTATTATTATTCAATGAAATAATTGCAATTATTTATCATAAAAAACAAATGTAGTAAACATAGGAAAAGTAAATTAAACAATCGATCTGTCGAGCATATTTTTATTCTTCTTGATTGGCTCAACATTCATGTCAATGATATAATTGGATTCATGTCTAAAAACGATATTAATAAATTTGAGTATGAGTTATGAGATGATATATTTGATTGCAAGAAAACATTATTTATAGATGAAAATTGGTTTTTGGTTGCTCAGAGATTGACAGACACTAGAAATACTAGAACTTAATAATTATTTGGTCATTTCAAATATATATATATGTGCATTTTTATATTTAGATATTATCAGCCAGTACGCTAGATATTATCAGTTTATGACCAAATTACTATCTCGATATATTAAATAACGTCTGGCAATTATGATAATTTAGTAAAATGTCCATAGCGTATTTGACTCTCGTATATCATTCTCAGAACATTGATTGAATTTGAAAATCGAATGGATTTATTTCAGAGAATGTCATACGGCTTGCTATAAGCAGCTTGCTTGCCTGCGTCGCCTATCGTGCGGCAAGCAAGGAAACATGCGGACACATATACGGCAAATGAACCATATCTACTACACGGTTTTCGTACGTGCGACAAATCGCACGATAGGCGACGCAGGCAAGCCTTATAGCAAGCCATTTGACAATCACTGATTTATTTTCACATTACGTCGGCATTACTTCAGATAACTAGAAGAAATGCTACTGTGGATAAAAGTTTTTTGTATTCTTTTTTTGGTGTTTATTTCATTCGCCAAAGGGATGAATTTTTCAAATTCACCTAAGAAAATCATAGTGGCATTTTCTGAGAGGCCACCATTTGTATTTCGCAATCAGATTGGCACTCTAAATGGTTTAGATATTTTATTAATGGAAAATTTTGCTAAAAAGACCAATTTACAAATAAAATACATTGAATTTAAAAGATCTTTGAACGAAATTTTTAGCAGAGAAGAAGTATTTAATAACATTTCAACAAATATAGAATTAAAGTAAGTAAATTTTCTTATGAAATATTTAAAAAAAATACAAATAAAAAAAGTCATGAGTGGAATATATTTTTAGTAAAATCGATGTCTTCATTGGAGCACTGGGCGAGACTGAAATATCGAGAAAGTATTTAAATGCTTCGTATACATATTATTACGATGCCCTAAGATGGTGCGTTCAGTCAAAACCAATTCCAATGTGGAAAAATGTATTTTTCGTTTGCAGAGATCCCGTGACTTTGGGCATTTATTTTGTAATGTGTATAACGGTTGTATTTACGGGATACTTTATGCAAAGATTTGAAGATTTGCAACCGAAATGGGATTGGTTTAGAATATCTCTTGCCGGCTTTGCTCCGAATGTTGGTTTCGTATCTGTTTATGATCCGAAAATTTTGCCACATCGAATGGCCTATATTTCTTGTGTGTTTGGAGCAATGATAACCAATATACTCATCAATGCCATACTCTTGCAATATATGACTACACAGTTCTTTGAAAATCAGATTCAATCAATTGATGAAATAATTACAAATAAATTTGAACTGGCCGGCGATCGATTTGCATTGCATCACCTGGCGAAGCATGAGGTACATGAAAGCATATTATACATGTTAAACCAAAATTTATATCTTTATTTCATTTAAATAGATATATTCGAGGACAAATTTCACCTTCAGTATTTGTGATGATTTAAATGCATGCTTGAGACAGTTTGGCAATAATACAAAATTGGCTGTGGCCATTTCACGTGAACATTCACGTAATAGCCGTTTAGTTTCAACCTCTCAAATTTATTGCTTCGAAAATACTCAGACCATCTATGAATATGGCCTGAATTTTTTAATTCACAAAGAATTTCCAAAAATAAACGAATTGAATCAATTCATACAAATGTCTAGCGCAAGTGGCCTCATCGAAAAATGGCGCTCTATGAGTCAAATCAATATTCACCATAAAAATGAACTGTATTATGGTGTTATCAACTTGGAAAATGTTTTGGCATTTTTCGTATTGTTGGGTTTTGTTGGCTTATGCTTGATACCATTCTTATTAATTGAACAAATTGTATATAAAAAAGCACAAACATCGAATGCCTCTAAAGTTTGGCTGATTATTGAAATGTTCATTGATCCCTACAGACATTTCTGGCTTGACAATCATTGTTTTTAATTAATTCAATTAATGAATTAGAAGATCTTTGAAAATATAATTTAGATCAAGTCGCACATTCCAACCAATTTGAAACTGGCAAATATTAAGTCTTTGAAAGATAATTGAAGACTCCAAATTCACCGTAGATTCGTGAAACATTTAATTCAGAGCCGATAGAACATTTTGGATTATTTAAAAATTGACTCAATATCAACTGTATTCGCTTGTAAGTGCTTGAAGCTATGATTCTATCATATACAGTAAAACCTGTCAATAACGGAACCTGATAATAGTGGAATTCTTGTCAATAGTGGAAAAAAAATTCCGCCGTTGAGCTCTTCCATACAAAATGACCTGTTAATAATGGAAAATGGCAAAAAAACGCTCACCCCGAATAGTGGAAAAATCATTTTTGACAAAAAAAAAAATTTCTGTTACAAATGGATTTTTACGTCGATATCATAGCATGATGCCAATATCAGTTTCAAATTTCATTAACTCAAATCTCTGTTTATTCAAACACAATGATTTTCGACTAATTTTTTGTCACATGAGAATGCAAATTCAGTATACACTACATAGCTTCAACGTTTATTTTTTTGGAATTTACTGTTTATGCTGCTTTGTTGTTTGGAAGTCGTTTTGTAAACATAAATTCTAAGAAACCAAATTTTGGTTTTATGGTCGCTCAATAGTCGGTACGTCTGTCGTAAAGCTGTGCATTATTGATCGTAGTGTGCTACATATTTTTCGAAAAATGAATAACAATATACTGACATTTGCATTACTTCAGTACATAAACATGTAATTTTTTTCATATTTTTCATTAAACAATCATAAAAGTATATGAATTTTTCCCAATAGTGGAAAATTATTTTCGAATTGATCTGAAAGTCTGTCAATAATGGAACCTGATAATAGTGGAATTCTTGTCAATAGTGGAAAATAAATTTTCCCCATGGGATTCCGTTATTGACAGGTTTTACTGTATTATCTTTTATCATTTTCAATTTTTCATAAAATTTGCTCCCGCTGTGAAATTGCAAGACTTTTAGTTATTTTTGAACACCTGTAAATTAGACTTTAGCAAAGAAATTCCATTTACTTTACACGTAATCCCTTTCATCAATCAATATGGGTACAATAGTTCTATCTCCATGTTCAAACCGACTTATTTAAAATGATTAAAATTTGTTTTTCTCGAAAACCGCTTGAAACACAACCAAATGTTTCAAAGATAGTAAGCAACAAAATGTTTCGAAAATATTTTTAGCTAGGGGGCAGACACGTGGAATAGGATTAGACTTTTAGTGTAAAGATTCGAGAAATTGCAATGAAATAGCAACGCCTGTGAATGGATTCGCGTGGAATAGCGAAACAGTGCATGGAATAGCAAAAATTGTTTCACTTCAAATCCATTTGACATTTCTTTTGACGTTTATTGATGGATTAGTGGAATAGTGCGGAATAGCAGGATTAACATTTTTGACAGAAACAGTGCATGGAATAGGAAAAATAGTTTCGATTTCACATTTGTGTTTTTGGATTAGTGGAATAGCTGGATTAGTAATTTATATAGTGGATTCGGAATTTATTCTTGGTGTCTCCCCCTAGATTTTTAGACAAGTTTCGAGAAAATGCTGAATTTCTATAATAATTATAATTATATAAATGTTTGAATAATTAGAAACATCTGGCATTATGTGTTGAGAATAAAAAACTGATGGAAATTTTGGATATAAAAGGAAGGATGAACCCAGTCAAAATTAGTTCTCACAGTCGATCTTTCTGGTTGATATCGTCTGAAAAGAAAATTTAGAAAAGATGTTCAGTACTCCGGTTACAGTTTTGGCCATTCTCTTGATTGGTGTCTGCGTTGCGGATGACACTATTGTTCAAATTCCTGAATATACTGCAACCACCTTAAGAAGATATCCAGGCCTGGGTATATCTGTGTCATTTAAAGCTGCAGGAAAACGAGTGTTTTATGAAGCACACATTCCCGAGAAACAAACGCAATTTTTATACAGAGGTAACGCTGACGAAAAGCATACAGTAGAGAAGTTTCACATATGGTACGAGCACATACAGAAAACTTTACCCAGCGTTTTGAGCACATTAAACGTATCAAATCTGTATGATTTATACTGTAAAGTATTTAAAACCAACTTTTAATGACATCAAAAACCCAGTTTTATTGCCAACATCTATATAGTTTCTTTGATAGACAAATTCAGTCTTTTCAACCTATTATAAATTAATTCAAATGTCACTTGTATTCGATTAAAATGTAACACAATAAATTACCAAAATACAAATTACACTTAAATTGTCTTCCAATTATTTTCAAATATATTTTTTTACAAATGTAATACGATTTGATCGAAATCAACTAATTTCGTCTTACCAGTTTAGTTAGCTTGATGAAATATTTACGTCATTGATTAAACAAATTCCATCTAATTTCAAACAAAAACTTCCATTCAGTTAATTGTGACTGCTTGTTGGTCTCATTATTGGAAGTATATTGTAAATATATAATGTCGCATTTTTTCAAAATTTGAACGTTTATTGAGAAAAAGGTTGTACAATCAAGTGGATGGCTCTAAGAAGAGACACATTGCGAATGGTTTACATTAATGCCATCTGTTGGCTTGGAGAGATGGGAGAGATTGTGACATTTTTGACGTAATGTATTTTACGTATTCATGTTTTTGGCAAGTCATTTGTCAATTTGGAACGTCCTGTTTCAATATCAATCAAATCACCAACCCATTTGTTAGGTTACATAAAATATTTAAAAACAAACATAAAACAATACACAGCTTTTGGTAAAAAACAAAATAAAGAGATAAAATAAACTTAAAGAATAAATTACTGATAAAAAATATATCAGTCTAATATTTATTTCTCACCATTTTTATAACGCTATTTACAGCGACTTCAAAATGCGAAAAATGACGAAATGTCATAAATCTAAATTGACAAATGACTTGTCAAAAACATGAATACGTAAAATACATTACGTAAATTTGGTTGGAGACGTCGGAGAAAAATAATATTTCATCATTTTCATCATAAAAAAAAAATATAGTTTTATTCAAAAATTCAAATAAAATCAAATTTAAAAAATATATTATTATTATAAAGGAAAAATATATTACTTAAAATAAAAATAAATAATAAATATGTGCATTTGTGTTACGTTACATAGAGCAAATTTGTTTAAATGCTAGAGATGTAAATTTAGTTGAGGGATGTCAGGTATGATGGCGCTGATTAGCGAGACTCGCATAAAAAAGTCTCCAATCTCATATATGTGTCATCCACGTGTGTACAATAGTGTTATTCAAAGTATTGCCCATCACTAGCCACTACTTTTTCCCATCTTTCTGGTAGCATACGGATTCCGTGTCGGAAGAACTGTTCATCTTTTGATGCGATGAATGAATCGACCCATTTTTTGACTTCTTCAGAAGAAGTAAATCGTGTACCAGCCAGGTTGTCCTGCATCGATCGAAACAAGTGATAATCAGAAGGAGCAATGTCTGGGCTATACGGTGGGTGGGGTAGCACATCCCATCGAAGTGTTTCCAAGTATGTCTTCACGACTTTTGCAACATGTGGCCGAGCATTGTCATGTTGAAGAATAACTTTGTCGTGTCTTTGCTCATATTCTGGCCGTTTTTCGCGCAATGCTCGGCTCAAACGCTTCAATTGTAATCGGTAGCGTGGCCCATCAATGGTTTCATTCGGTTTCAGCAGCTCATAGTACACCACACCTCGTTGATCCCACCAAATACACAGCATTACCTTAAATCCGTGGATATCTTGCTTTGATGTCGATGGTGCTGGTTGGCCGCGCTTCACATATGCTTTTTTTGCTTTGGGCTATCGTAGTGAATTCACTTTTCATCACCAGTGACAATACGATGCAAAAATCCCTTTCTTTTCTGTCTTTGAAGCAGCTGTTCGCAGATGAAATATCGTCTTTCCACGTCTCTTGGCTTCATGTGGTACCCAATTTCCATGCTTTTGAATGAATCCTGCTGCTTTCAAAAGTTGTGAAATGGCTGCTTGAGTGACTCCCAATGATTTTGCAAGTTCTTCTTGAGTTTGACATGGATCTATATCGAGTAATGCCTCCAATTCTTCATCTTCGAACTTTTTTTCTCTTCCGGCACGCTCCTTGTCTTCGACATTAAAATCACCACTTTTGAAGCGTGCAAACCAACGCTGACACATTCTTAAGTCTATAGCATAGTCAGGATAAGCTTCAGTGAGTAAACGATGTGCTTCAGATGCGTTTTTCTTCAAATGGAAACTGAGTCTATCATCGTTCGAAAAAAAACCGACCATTTCCCACTTTCAAATGAAGCTTTCCAGTCAAGTTTAATACGTGGTACGCAAGAGCTTTGTAACTATATATAATTTGTTCAGCTTAGCCAAGAAAACAATCGGCTGGAAAATTGATACCATCATCAGTTCCAACAGTGAATGCGGTTCATGTATATTGGAAAATGGAGAATTGCCAAAAGAGTAGCAGGTTTCACTTCGTATGCTTATGAATTAAAAAGAAAATACAATTCTGTGAAGATTTCGAAGATATAACTTACCCGCATGTAAATATCATGAGCACCAAAATAATAATAAAAAGACAAACAATTTTTGTTTAAACCAAAAAAAGTTGCAGGTAAATAAATAAAAAGAAATCTTTTATTCATAAATATTTCAATACGTTTAATACAATTGTTCATACGATGTCATCGTTCAAATGTTCTTTTAATAAGAAATGTCAATGGAACAAAAATATATGAAAAGAAGTGAAAATAAAACTTTTGATCAAAGTATGGTGAGAAAGATTCTGATGGATTGCATGAGGTATATATACTAAATGTTTAAGTTAATTTTGTGTATGTATTACGTTGAATATTAATCATTTTTATAAGATTTTTTTTGTAGCATTTTTACTATAATTCAACATCTATACCATAAATAGTTAATAGTTGTATTTTTGTTAATAATAAATTTCACATGAAATACATATTCATAGATAAATGTTTTTAATTGTTTTTGTATTTATAATATTTGATTTAAAATTTGTATAGCCGATTGCTTGAATGAATGATGTTTGGCTGCTGAATGGTTGGCTTGCGTACAATTTTCTCTTTGAATTTCCAGTGAACTGATGAGCAATTAGCCCATTCGCAAACAAGAGCGACGTCATTCATCCATTCATTCAACATTGTATATTATGCCATTTTGTTTTTCTTTTAGAAATCCATTACAATTTAACATTTATTATTAAAAGTCAAGAAAAATATATGTTTATTTTGTGTAAAGTATTTTTGGTATATTCTTTTTTATGTGAATTCTGTATTGTTGAAATATTTCAACATGAAAATGTAAATGCTATATAGTATATTGTAGTTTCTGCATTTCTATATGTTCATTGTTGTTGTTTTAGGATTACGTTTACATTCCTTTTATTTGTTTTGGATAGCGAGAAATGAAGGTATGTTGTCACAAAAATATACATAAAAATCTGATATCTCTTAAATTTTACTATAGTGCACAGCATTGCAAATAAAACGCTAAAAAATGAAATAAATTGTTTTCTGCCCCTTTTGTAACGGTCGAATGTAGAATGAAGCATTGCTAAAATAATATACAATTCCAGAAATTCAGAGAAAATAGAAAGTCCAATGCTAAAACTAATGTCACGATGTGACAAAATGGCCATGGATTACGAAAACAAACCCGAAATTGAAAACTTATGACACCGAAATTAAGATAGATTGTGATTTGGCTCTCCTATTTCATGGGATCTTTTCGGCATAATTTTGTACAGCATTTAATTGAAATTGGATTTAAACTGCATTCTCAGATCGTCGTCGACGACCGGGCCCACCTATTCAATATAAAACAAACACAAAATTAGAAAATATGACAATAAACCGTTTTGAATTAACCAATGTTAAATGTTATATACCTGCAAAATTTGCGGCGGCCATGCCGAGGCGATGTTTTGCTTCAATTGCACCGCTCAAACCACGTCCCAATCCAAAATCCACGGTTCGCTTCGAGCTAAAGTTTAATTAAAACGAAAATGTAAAACGCATTATTATTATTTGCAAATCAGAAGGCAACAAGTGCAATACAAATTGATCGCATCACCTTCAATTAAGTGAAAAAATTGCTCTCAATTCAACACAATCAATACAACGGAAGAATGTATATTATGAATTGTGCACTCGATTTTCCGGTGTTTGCGTTACAATTGTTTTGAAACAGAGAAAAAAACTTAGATTTCACATCTCATGGCCCCATCCCACCAGAATATCCGCCAAAGATTTCTTTGAAATCAAATGCTCAATCAATAGCAACAGTATCAAAGGGTCGATTCCTGGAAATGATAATATTTGTCTGTTGCTGTTTGCCATTTTGCTAACGAGATGCATTGTTCGCTTGAATGACTTGCATTCTCCGCTCGCTCTATTCGTTCGAATTGTGAAAATTGTACAGTATATGTGTATGTTAAAGCGTCGCCACCAACTGAGTCCGGAAGCGTATATTGTGTTTGAGTCGGGTCGGATTACTTGTGTATTATTGAAAAAATATGTAACACAACAACTGGATACAGTGCACAACATTATACACAATGCGCGCCAACAATGCAAATGCAAAGAGATTGTGTGTTGGCAACAGCAAGCAGAGAGAGAGTGTGTATATGCTTAACTGATTTTCCACTTGACAACTAACCAGCTGCGAGCTTTTAATGCTGATTCACAAAATCAACTGAACACTTTGCATGTTCATGTTCAACACCAAAATTCGATCAATTTGAGAGCATTTTTTGAGCATTTCTAATACGATTCTGTATCAGTTTTGTTCATCAGTTGGATCATACACGGGTCGAGAATGCGGAATTATTAGAAATTTGCTTTTAGGTCACAATGACCACACGTTTTTCTCCCCGCCCCCTCTCTCTCTCTCTCACCCACACTCTTTAAATTCGAACATGAATTGTTTACCCCAACAGCAACGGGTATAGTTTGTGAAAACATCAATTAATACACACAAAAAATACTCATGTCATCGAAAACTTGCTTTTGGCATCACGCTGCGTACGCATATCCCACAATGTTAATCAATTTAATTGAAAATGCATTCAACGTTAATTTGATGAAACACTTTAAATCAAGAGGCGCAATTTCATGAAGCATCACATGCACCGGAAACGCATCAAAACAATAATTAAAAATCATGCACGTCATAATAATATCAACTCTACTCATTGTGATAAACTCTCCATATCACACAGCTCAAGTGGTAATCAAAAGTTTTTTTTTGCTTGGCAAAAACCACATTCGTTGATGAATCAATTAAAATTAACGATTTCGACCTTGAATTTTCGCATAAAATGTAAAGAGCCAATTATACACTCCGTACATTCTGTATGATGATTAAACATCAACGTAACAATAAGAAGTGTGTTAAAAGGTCATAATAAATAATACTTACTTTGCCACTTCATCGCGGGCTCGCATAAGAGTCTGTCCAAATCTGGCGATTAGCTCCATCAACACATCTTCCGGCGTTTCATCAACATTTTCTGAGTAGTAACCAGAGCTGCTCAAAGAAAAGGGGAGGGAGAGATTGAGAAATGAAGCGGGTAATAAAACGCATGCACTTTTTATATTTGGTTTTATCTTATGAACTATAAAATATTTAATAACATATTAAATGTCTATGTATCGAAGCAATAAAATTCAACGCAATGAAAAATATTTAGTATCAAATATTGAGAGAAGGATTCGTTTAAAATCATATTTTCATTCTTTTTTTTATAAATGCTATAAAGTATTCTATCTACTTTGTGGATCTGGAAAAGAGTTGAAGAAAAAAAAAATACATTGAGAAGTGCTCCTTCAAGCATACCAACGATAAACCTTGTTGTGCTCATGGGACCGATTCCTTTTTCATCGACGATGATTCATCGTAAATTGTGTCCATTTCCTTCCATCTCAGGTCACTCATCGCTTTTCTTTTATCGACTTCAATTCGATTCTTTTGTTTGTGAATTATTTACACTGAAAGGTCAATCAATATTGTTCATGCCTATTGAGATTTCAACATCATCAATAAACATATTCTACTTTGTAATACATGATGCGAAGTCGTTAAACGTGCATCGCTTTTTCAAGTCGTAATAAGGTTGCCTACCGCATCAAGTGACATATGTTCGTTCTATTTTCACCCCGATGATAAATGCAGTGAAGAAATTTTTTCATGAACGATGAAGACATTTGTTTACTTTAGCCGAAAGTCTTGAATTATTTATAAGGGAGGTTTTATATGTAAAGAAAATAGTCAGATGAAGATAGACGACTTCCTCTAAAAATACATACAAAATTAGACGAATTATTTCAAGAGTAATATCACATTTCGTGGAAGTGTTCGCAATTTTTGGGTAAACATACACTGAACAAGGTAAACGTTCACCTGAAACTTTTTTTGTTACATATACATTTATACAACATTCCATCGAAATTTCGTTAAATTCAATTTTGCCACATAAATGTGAATTATTTTGAAAGCACAATTTCAGCCATTTATTTATATCATTTTCAAAACAATTTCATTTATTTAACGTTAACTCATGTAAATAAAATTTAATTAAAATGCGCAACATTTTCAATAAAAAAGTGTTTGAACTACATTTTGTGGATTAAATCGATTGCAGTGCAAGAATTTAATTGATATAATGCCATCAGAAGCGGCTCGTAAACAATGCATTCTTTCACATAGTTTGTGTGTATGGAATATTTTGCGGTTATTTGGTCGATAAACTGGAGCCATGCAAACAGACAAGTTCATTCATGCGAATACATTAGATATGAATGAAACTATCGACATTCGGCTCAGCTGTCTGTATAAACAAAGTGCATTCATTTTGTTGTCATGGAATTTTGGTCGCTTCGATAACGAATTTGTTAGTTGAGTCAAAGCCATTGAGTGCGAACGTATTCCGAAAATCACTGGGCAAAGTTACTCTTTTCAAAATAACTTTCATGCTTGTGATTTTGAAAAATAATAATTTTTTGTTCGAATTATTTAAAGTTCAGAAATTTCTGGTGAAATCGAAAAAAAATGGATGAAGTAAGTGAATCTGAGTCCCAGGGACGAAACTCCAAGGTGGACGAAGATGGTTCAACAATTCCGTCCATTATAACCGAAGAATATTTTGAAGAAATAGCCATAAAATGTCGAGCCGTAAGTGTACCAGCCAATTTCTCACTTCCGAATTGAATAATTCATTCGAAAAGGTACAACAATAAAGCGCCGAAGAATAATAATTTTACATTGAAATAATTATAGATGGTACGAAATTTGTTAACAAATCTGAATACAGAGGCTGCCGACGAGATGCAAACAATGCTAACGGTTGCCGAGCACTTACGATCTAATTTGGAAAATGAAATGGAGCGTGTAAAACAAGCACAAAAGCAATACGATGAATTGTTGGCACGATACGATGAAACGGTGAAACTATGGGCAACGGACAAAGAAAAAATTCGCAAACAACGCGATGAAATTGGTGAACAAAAAAAAGAGACATGCAATTTTCTGACACATTTTTCTTTTCTTTCAATTTGTTATTAATGATGAAAATCAAATGACCAATTTCTCTTTAGATCAGGCATGGCGTGAACGAGACGCAGCACTTCTAAGAGATCAAATGGCTCAAACACAAATGTATTCGATGCGAGAGAAACTCGAAGCCGTCGAAAGTGCCGTAAAAAATGTGAACAAAAATACAAGAGACGAGTAAAAAAAACAACAGCTAATTTTCCAGTCGATTTTTTCTGTTTCTTTAACTATAATTTATAATTAAATCCAGACTTGGTATGTCATTGACGAAGCAAAAAGAGAGTTTGATGCGTGATCGTGACCGATTGGCAGCCGAAGTAGATGATTTGAATAAAAAATTGCAACAACAACGTCTGCAAACCGAAGCCGTTGAAAAGAGACGTGCCGAACACGAAGAGAAATGTCGCGAATTGTATAAAATGTTAGATGTAAGTGTTGCTTGATATGACAAGGGTGGAAATTACCGGAAATTTCTAAACGGTTAATGTGACGGTGGCAAATTTACAGGAAGCATCAACTGAAGCGTTCAAAGAAAAACGAGCTTTGGACCAAATGCGAGTCTCTTTAAATGACATTACCATCGAACGAAATTCCTTGAGCGAACAATTAAAATTCTTTCAATCTCAGGTAATGTTGACTGCTTGAGGTTTTTGGATTAAGCAACACCATTTTATTTGGCATATTTGTTTCTTTCATTCCTTTTCTTACATTTTTGGCTCTCTTGCCGTTATTTCCTTTTTCTTTCTTCCCGCACCCGTAGAGTGAGACTTTCCAAGCTAATAACGTCCAATTAAATTTGAAAATCGGCGCAATCAAAGCGAATTTATTGCGAATGACATCTCAATATAATGTGTGTAATGGTAAATTGACAAAGGCAATATCGGATTTGGATGAAACGACGTCAAAATGCGACCAATTGCAAATCGATCTGTTTCACCAACAAAATACGGCCAAGCAAAGGGAGGCCGAACTGGGACGCATAGTTCGTGAAAATGGCCAAATGATGAAAACTCGTGATGCCATTCAGAAGCGAATTCAAACACTCGAAACTGAAAAAACGGAATTAGTTAAAGAGGTCACAAAATTAAGGTGTTACAACAGTACCCCCATTATAATGAAATTGATGCTGGAATTTCAAATGAATACGTCGGAAGTAAATCATCATTTTTCATGTTTATCTTTTTTTATCTCGCCCCAACAGTAATTCCATTATCATGCTCGAAAAACAGCATGAAATTAATCAGAAGGCTTTTGATAAAGTCCAGAAATTATCCGATGAAGTTTTACGCGAACGTGACGCTATTCACAAGGAACTCAAGAAAATGGAAAGTATGTATTATATGTACGCACGGTGTTACAAAGAAGAAAATTGGTTGGTTCTCCTTAGGGTGCGAGTACCGTTGCTTAAGCAAGTCCAAGTACATGTGGAGATGTACTGGGGCGGTTCAAATGACTAATAACATTTCACACAGTAGCAATTTCATTGATTGACATCATTTTTAATGTGCGTATGTTTTGTATTTCAGAAATAGTTGAAACACAACTTGGTGTCATAAAATTACATGAGCAACAATGTCAAAGTCTCGAAAGTCAAGTAAAAACTTTGACCACCGCCATCGAAGTGAATAAGAAAAATTTCAACAATCTTAAGCGTGAACGTGATCGAAACGTTAGCAATTCTCTGGCGAAAAATGACAAGATGGATGCCACGCAATCCGAATTAACAATAAAAATGAAAGAAATCGTTGATCTGACATGGGATTTGAATCAAACACGAACCAAATTGACGCACACGCAACAACAATTAGAAACCGAAACAGCCGAACGTATCGCAATGCAGAAAAATCTCGATACAATTACCGATGACCGAAACGACGTGCGCGAAAAACTTCGAGTAAGTTTTATCTCTCAGTTCACTGTAGTTTGCTACATTTCAACTGGTTTCATAGATGTTCGGGATAATTTACTTAAATAAATAATTTATAGATTGCGATTGCCGAGCAAAATAAATTGAAGCAAACAATTTCGGCAAAAAATACAGAAAATGTACGAGCCCAGAAGCAAATTGATCGAATTGAAAAAGAAAAAAGCACTCTAAAAATTGAACTACAAAATGCTACCGTTTCATGTCAGCATATTCGTACGGAGCTTGCCGAGCGAGAGCATGAATGTCGGTCGTTGTATCGTGCTTTGGCGGATGAAGAGAAAAAATGCACTCAAATGGAAAAAAAAGTGGATGCCATTCAAAATGAAAAGGACCACATCGGTGCTGAACTTGTAAAAAAGACCGACGAAAATCGTGTTTGGGAAGAAAAACGTGAAGTGATGAAAGTTGCACTGGATCGAGGTTTGTAATCAAAAAAGCATTTTGCATTTTTCATGAAATGAATAACGAATGGTTGTGCTTTTTTTGTTTTTGTCGTCAGGTGAACGGCATTACATTGAACGGCTGGAAGACATTCGACTTTTGAAAATTGAAATTAAAAATCTGCGCCACAGAAACCGACTACTAACACACGGCATTTGCAATACAATTGATATGCGACAAGAGGTACTACAACTGCACCGTGAATTGAATCAAGAACGTGTTAAATGTCGAGCACTTGAAGATGAGCTGAGCACACCGCTCAATATACATCGTTGGCGAAAATTGTCCGGCAAAGATCCAGAGAAAATGGACCTCGTTGTTAAAATACAAACGCTTCAAAAGTAAGTAAAATCAGTTTCTGTTTTTCCGATTCGATGAACTGTAGCAGAGGGAAAGAAAACAAAAAACATGTTTTTATTCTGTTTTTGTTAGACGAATTTTATTCCAGACTGCCGTTGCCGTAGAAAAGGAAAACGCGTTGCGTCAATCCAACATTTTGTACAATGCACTGAAGTCAGCGATGGAACAATTTTCCAATGTTGACAAAATAAAGCAACAACTTTGCTACACGCGTCGTGCACTGACGGCAAAAACACGAAAAATTAAAGCCTTGTCGGCCGAATCGAATATTAAAGACGAGGAGATTAAGCTAAAAGATACGAATTTGAAACAACTTCGCGAAGATCTCATGAATAAAAAGCAACATTTACTGTATGAAAAACGTGACAAACAAAAATTAAAAACACAGTTAGACGTCATCAAAACGCAGATAAACAACGGCTTTTTGGAACGACCATTGAGTAATCCGGTCCAAAAAACGGCTGGCTTTTCGAATTCTCAGCACGACCAGTGAATAAAGCTTATGATGCGAATGTTTGAATTTGTTTTTTTTTTCAACAACTTTTTCGGAAATAAAAGTATGTTTTTTTAGAAAATCATATTTTTCTAGTTTTGAACTTTATTTATGCAAAAAGTTTTACATATCTTTTTTTCTTCATACTTTGAAGTGTATTGAAAGTATAACACAGTGTGTTGAAAGTTAAAATTCAATTTATTTGACGAAAATTGAACATTTGAACCAACTATATTCGAAAATGATGAAGAATTTGATAAAATGTGAAACTTGTCTGAGGACACATATCAAGAGCTATTTTTTTGTTGTGTGTGTGTGATGCCATAATCTGATTTTAGTAGGCTCACGTGATGTATCACAAATGTATTTTCGATACGGCAATTAGATTCCGAGCGAAAATGGTGCCCATTTTTACAGACAATCGAACACAAGGAATGCATTTGTTTTATTAATAAAATTGGACACGGATAAACATGTAACATGTTCAAAGTTCAGAAAGAAAAAGGTTTGAACATTTTATTGAAGAGATATGTATTGACGCTTAAATGAGATGATTTCGGTTTGGGACGTGTCATTTGACACTAAATTTCATTCCATTAAGTGGATTGTTACTGCTTCGCACTATAAAACCGCATGTAATTGATATCGGTACTTACTATCTCGGTGCTGATTCTGCGACTGATATAAACAGCATACTGATTCCAACCACAAGCAGCACAGTGCACCATTGCCGTGTCGAATTCATTCTGAAATGAAAATGAAAAGGGAAACCGATTAATTTTCGTGTTTTACAAGATTTGATTCTTCATTCTCTCTTTTGATAAGAATTTTTGGCGCGCATAGGACAAAAAGCCCTTTTTTCAAATGGAAATGAAATTAACGGTTCGAAAAGAAAACCACTTCCATAATTTGGATTAAGTAAAGAGCTATTTATCGTAACTCCGAACATGGGCACGGTAACAATAGGTATAATACAAAAGATTACTGTGAGGTAAACCGGAGAATAAATTAGAAGAATAAAAATGTGCATGTCTTGCGAGCAATATTTACAATTCGTGATATCATTTCTGACAAAGACTCAATTCATTGAGGTAATAAATTCGACGACTCATATTTGCTCAAAGTGGAAGCGAAAATTGCGCAAATCATGTATATAAAGAGAATCGCGATAATCTTGTTTGGCAATTTAATGAGCGATTTTCGATTTGACGGGTTAAGACTTAATCGTTAAGTCAACAATGTTATGCATTCAGGATATGATAACGATAAATCGATTTTGTACGCTGTTAAATTGGATTCATGAGGCCCAAACCAATTCGATGAAGAAATATCTTCTACGAAATAAAGTTAAACTGATTCAATAAGCCTCTTTAATGTGTTTGGCCACAAAAAAAAATCCACCCAAATTCGAATCCTCTTTATTGTCAAATCGTTTACAAAATTTTGGATCGCCACACAAAATCGATTCGCAACAGGAAGCTATTTATCACGAGACAAAAGCAATTCAAATGATTCCGCGAAAAAGTGAAAAATATGTGATAAGAAATGAATACAAGATTTTTCACAAAGAACTTGATACGAACGTGGTGTGAGGACCGCGACCAGTATGGAGATACAAATTCCGCACAAAAACAAGTGAAAGTGATGCGAAGCTCCAATGTGGAAAACAACAAGGGAATATGGAGCTTCATGGCATTTAAGTTGAAACGAATCAAAACTTGATGTTGCAATATGAATAAGACTTCAAAAACTTTGCGAACAATTTGTTGCAGCTCATCACATTATTCATGGTAATTTATCAATTTTTTCTTCTTTTTTTTCGCTAAATTTTTCAATTACATTTTTCCATGTCTTTCGGCACTTTGCAATGGGAAAAAAAATCAAAAACAGATATTAAAAATTGAGTCGTTCATTCTTTTGGTTGAAAATTGAATGTCGGTTGAAGAAAATTGAATAATTCACGTCTGTAACTGTACAAATGATAAAACAGAAGACGAAAACGAAAAACCACACAAAACTTCTTTCATGATTAATGTTTCGTCTTCAGTCTTTGGTAAATTTGACGCAATATCATGAACGCAAAAATTAGAGTTCATCGGCATTCATCGTCGAACATTTTGTATCACAACCAGAACACGATTCAATAAATCTCAGCGCACAAATCAATTTATCGTGCATCGGTGATGCAATAAAGTAATAAAATGAAAATTAAATGATGGCATTTATGTTTGTCTTGAGCTCAGTTGCGAAACTCTCTAGGTGCTAAAGATACATTGTTTGACGCAATGTATACATGCGTTATTTTGCTTCTTTTTTTTCCTACGCTGAATAAAAAATTCACGACACAGCCACTAAAATGCACAGTAGATAGGATAATTTATTGCCTCGTTTCATCAAGGAGTATTTATTGGTTTTTCGGTGACGCAAATTCAATCTATTTCACCCATTTCGGTGTGAACTCGTTCGAGACAACTGTACACGTATTTCGAATACTTTTAACTTTTACTGCGTTTGGTTGTCGCAACTTTTGTTATGAACGAGGCAACACATCTAGAAAAAAAATCAGGTCATTTTCAGTCGACAGTGTCATTTGGTAAAATAAGCTTAAGTACCATGTGATAGCTATATCAAAAAACATTCCACATAAAACACGGTATTGGCTTTAAAATTGTAAACTTTAACGAAACAAAATGAATTTTGTTGGTGAAAATCGTTGATTTTCTTTGAAGTAACGACGAACGAGAAATGACGTTAACTCAATTAAAATTGGCGGTTCTACGCATAAATGCAGCATGAAATCTAATCATAAAAAATCCAACACATTTATGCCTGAATAGTTTCTCGTTCGACTTTGAAATTGATTCACATCAAAATCATGGCATGAAGCGATATTTGAAATCCAATAAACCAAACCATATTTGTTTCATGCGAACGTTTAGAGGTTTTTGTCTTTCGATTTCAATACATTGCCTTTTTGTTGGCTCTTCTTACATCCTATCTCTATTTTCATGCAAATCAACACCATCTATATACACGCGATCCTTTTTAATCCCCACGATATTCATTGAATTCAATGCTACTCCCATAAACATGGCAACGACGATGAGATTCGGAACAACTGCCGAAATTCGTTGCTTTCGTAGTGTGTGTTTATTTTCTTTTCATATTGGTTTGATGCCAACATTTTTCACACCGAATAATGGCAAGTGTTGTTTCGCATGCACAGGTACACAAAAAATAAACATCACTATCATGATAACATAAACATTTTCTGAAACATAAGCGTTTTGTTCGCGTATTTTCTCTATATTGATAATCAATACTTTTCATGTTTTATTATTTATCATACGCTTTAAATTATTCAAGGAGTGCATTTCCAAGAATACATCATCGTATTCTTCATAGAATTCAAAAAAATTTATAAACTGTTTTGTGGTTATGGGCGCCTTGTTGGTAAAATATGCACACAAGAAAAATATATAAAACTATCCACAAGGTAACTGTTTGAGAAATAAACATGATATACTTGATACAAACTTATCCACATTATTAAATTAAATCTTTATGTTTATCAAGAAGAAAATATTTTTAAAAAAATGCTTTTTGTCACGCTTTCGATGAAAACAAATTTATGTGCTTGAATTGGTATATTTCGTACCAATTTTGCAAAGAAAATTTTCCGTCATTTTGTAAAAATCTGTCATAAATTCCCTGATTCTTTGAATCTATTTGAAATCAGTGAGCCGTGCAAAAACTGATCCACGCGTGCATTCAAAATGTTGTTCGTGATGCACATCACATCTTTCGTTACACATGTAATACTTCCAACCAGTAAAACTGTTCTTTTCATGCAATATATGTTCTGTTTGGAGTGTTCGTCTATAAGTTCGCACGTGCCAAATGTCATCGCGTTGAATCTATTCGTTTTTTTTCTCTTTCACTTTTGCATGCCAAAGATTTAACGATGAAATTTGAGCATCTGGTTTTGCTTCTATCGCAATAAGAAAGCAATCAACAAGCATTGCCATTTCAAAAGAATTTTGTATCATTTGTTGGCAATTAAAAAATGTATGCAATATCATAACTGGTCTGTATTTCAATTTGATATCTCTTGTTTTGTGTTTTGAAATTTATTGAGAGTTGAGACTCTTGGTTCATGTAAAAAGAAAAGAAAACAGAAAAACAAAAACAGAACCTTTTCCAATGGAAAAATTCGGACACAAAGGGATGAAAACGCCAAATAAATAAGCGCACATTTATGTGGCTAAAAATGGAATAGGAGTTGTAACACGTACAATCATTGTATGCAATGGTGAAATCAAGATATAAAACATTTTTGCAGCAAAAAAATAGTGTGTACGACATACAGCTTCATTTCGCTCTTCTAATAAATAAAATTTCTCGACAGTGTAATGAATGGCCTTTATAAAGATGTGAACGCCTTTGTGTATATCTGACTACTGTCATAAAAGTACTGTGTCACACACACAGTATTGTACCATCGAATAGAAAAACTTTTATTTTTGCTGCATTTTCAGTTTTTTTCTTTCATCTTATCGTCGCCTCTGCTTGCTCGAGCACAACAGCATTTATTACATAGATGTACGAGACACACGCGATTTTTTTTATGACTAATATAAAATGTACTACGTTATAACACATTTTCGCGTGGTCGGATGGACAGCTCACGATTTCAGTACATCAAAAGCACATAAAATAACATTACAATTGTTTGTCGATTTCACTTCACTCGTGTATGGGCGAGTTTGCTATTCTCATTGACCATTATTTTCCCTCCGGCCAACATCCTTCGACTGTCCTAACTGACACATGAACGGTTTTGTTACTATTATTACTCGCTTTGACAATAACTGCTGAATGTGTTTTATTTCTATAGAAAAATCTCATTGCATAAAAACCATCGAATTTTACAGCAAATATTTTACCACTTTTCGAGTTGTTACATTTTTCTCATCGCTTTTTGTGGTTTTCATTTTTTCATCAACTTTGTTGCTAATTATCATTCCTAAAGTTCGCTTATTAAGCAAAGCAAAATCATCAGCCAAATTACCACAGACAAAAAAATGTTCTTCCCCGATGACATAACGAACATTCGTAATTTCGTCAAAGAAAGCTTTCTGTGTGCGCTTCTTTGTGAGTTGAGCTAAATCAAATTACATCTCATTTTTTTGGCCAATTACATTTTTTATCGCGAATGAAAGACGAATTTAAACGTGCATACCGTGCGAGTTTTGGGTGCTTTTCAATTTCGCTCGTGTGATGTAGCGTAATCAGGTTTTCGGGTTCTTTTCAGTTTGCGTCATGGAAATTATTTTATCATATCATCTCGACGAATACAAAAGATTCAAGTTGAGCGAATACTCCATTTAATATGAACAAATAAACAAACGATGCGCAACAGTATGGTGCGATCTCTGAATGGATGTGTTGAATGTTGACGAAGTTAATGAAGAACAACTTTGACTTTATTAGCTCAGTGGTAAAATAATGCAAAAAAAACGAACCTTTCAGTGGTTGGCTGTACTCTATTTATATTTTCCATTCAAATTACATTCATTTAAAACATTAGCGGGAATGTGGTAGAAGAGCATTGAATTCGATTTTCATTACTATTTATATTCATTTTAATGCGATTGTGATTTTCATTTGAAATATTTATTATTAAGACATTACCGAAAAAAACTACATGAATTCGAAATATTCTGACGAAGAATTAAACTGCTGC